CCAGTAGTCCCTCAGCCAGGCCCCCTTGACCCTCTCCCCAGGTGTCTCCTTCCTCCTCTGCCTGCTCTAGAACTTCCTGCTCTAGAACTGTTTTTGTTATATTTTTCTCCCTGTAAGACCATAGTCCTAAGCTGAGGTCCTTAACTCTTCATTTTTGTGTCTTAAATGACCAAGCTCTGACATGTACAGAATAGATGCTCAATTGAAATTGTTTTAATAAATTAGTGAATGTAAGAATCATTGAAGTCCAGCTAATGTGGTTCAGTAGTTGAGCGTTGACCCATGCACCAAGAAGTCACCGGTTCGATTCCCAGACAGGACACTTGCCCAGGTTGTGGGCCCCATCCCCAGTGGGGGCATGCAGCGGGCAGCCAGTCGATGTTCTCTCTCATCGCTGTTTCTCTCTCTCTCTCTCCCTCTCCCTTTCTTTCTCTCTAAAATCAATAAAGGAAAAAAAAGAATCATTGACATTTTTTCTATGGATAATACAAGCAAGTGATTCCTTTGACTTGGATAATCCTTTATTATTTCTTATAATTTTTTTCTATTTCTTAGAATTACATTTTCAGTTTCCTGCATTTTGCTCATTGTTTTGTTTTTAGTGGCAGATGTTAGGACTAGACCCTCTGAAAAGATGCCAGCTATTGAAGAGGACAAAAAATTAACACAATGTTACATGTATTCGGCTAAATATTGGGAGCAGGATATCTTTTGTTGGTTACCAAAGCTTGGGAAAATAAAAGTTATTATTGAGCTTTTAATTTTGTTCTATAAGAAAATTCACTTTCCTTTTTTACGTGCAGGGAATAACCATCCGCCCACTGGTGGAGTTTCTTGATGTTAAGAGGTCTGATAAGAAGCAGCAAGCTGTCAGCGAGGAAATCCACTCTCGGGTAGGTGCTCACGCAGCATACCAGTCTAAAGGACGTGGGAAAAGGGTAGGATTCTGTCACACAATTTGGCATCAGGGCGCTCAGTACCTGAAGAAGAAAAATGGCACAAGGTAAAAAAAGGAGGAGGGCGGACAAAGGCATGAACTGGGGTGTGGCGTGACCCCAGACCCACGGTGGCTTCTCCAGGAGCCCGAGCCGCACAGGAGCACAGGGACAAGGCGTGCCCGTGACTTCCTTCAGCCTCAACTTGTTTCTACTAGAAAATGATCATATTTCATATTTTCCACAATTATGAACAAACTGTTAAAGATGAGAAAAATAACCTAAGAAGTGCTTAATATCCATGTGACAAATCTCTCATCAATTTGTTTGAAGATTAATTATTGTGTCATTGCTTTCAGTAAAAAAAGAAAAGCGAAAGCTATCAGCCTTTGATGTTTAAGCATGATATAAGTAGAATAGACATAAGTGCTTTTAGGTAAAGATTAATCAATGAGCCTGCTTTTTTCATTTTAGTTTTTTGATCATGTGAAGACGGGGATTGAAGATGTTTGTGGACATTGGGGTCACAACTTTTGGAGAGACAAGTAAGAAGGCCCGAGGCCACTCGTGGCACAGGGCTCCGTGACCGTGGAAGGGGCACGCGCTGACCTGCGTCATCTTTCAGGGTTGTCCATGTGCTGTGCCCGTCCTGTAGGATAAAGTCAAGCTCTCACAGAGGCCGGGGACAGAGGAGCCTTTACCAGACAGAGGCTTATCCCTCTCATACAGAAGCCGCAGGCAGGCGGCGCAGGGTTCCTGGCTCAGCTCTGCCCCCCTCTGGCCCAGGACCCCGCGTCTGGTTGATGCCAACAGCTCCCGTCTCCAGAGCCGCCGGGGCCAGGGCAGCTCTGACGCGCACATTCCAGTGTGAACGTGGGAAGAAGGGTAATGAAGAGACAACGTATATATAAAGATACATAAATGGCCACACAGTTCTTCCCGTTCCATCACATGGCCTGGCCTTTCCCAGCCAGGACTGTCATATGACATTTCTCACTGTAAGGGACACTGAAGAATGCAGTCTGTTTGGGAAAAAACTGGAGGTCCCATTACGATTTGTTCTCTCAAATATGTCGAGAACACCTGAGGTCATAAACAGAATAGCGGGAACAATATTTTTTAAAGTATAGTTAGCTGAAAGATTATGTGCATTTATATAAATGAGTCTTTCCATCTTCTATCTACCTATCATCTGTCTCTCCATCATCTATCTATTATCTACCTATCATTCATTTATCTATCATCTATCTACATGTCATCTATCTATCTATCTATCTATCTATCTATCTGCGTTTTTACTTTTAAAGACCCTGTGGTGGATAAATAAGATTCAGTGTCTCTCTTCAGTGATCTCGTAGTTGAAGAGAAAAGGCAGACTAGCCAGGCGGAACCCCTGGTGAGGGACTTTGGAAAGGGGGCATTTCAGCTGGTCCCAGAGACAGACGGGTTCTAAGCTGTTTGGTGGATCCCCTCGCCCCCTGCCTTGTCTTTCCTAGCTGGCTAACAGAGCCCCCTGCTAATTAACATGAAGTTGAGCACCTACTGATTTATGTCATTTAATATAAGGAACTTTTTAAGTGCTTACTGTTAGCATGCGTGTTCTGACATAATGTTGCACTCCATGAGAAGTATACACGGTAGACTGGGCCTTTGAATCTTCACAGTGTAATAAAGGCAACAGAACAGTCACAGAGCAAGTAGGGGTGAGTGTGTGTGTGTGTGTGTGTGTGTGTGTGTGTGACATCACTACACACCAGATCAGCCTCGTAAGCCTGACCACACTGTTTACCAATGGGCCCCTGGTCCAAGCCTTACTTCATCATTAAAGGAAAATACTCATTTGTCAATAGGGACATAGAGTAATAAAGTAACACAAACTAAGATCTCCATTGTAAAGGTAGGAAGACAATGGTGTTTATCTTGGACAGCAGTCACTGTTTCGGAGGTGGGAGGTAGACAGAGCCCCGGAACCAGCTGCCTGTGACTCTCTGCACAGCCGCTTTGCCCGCCCGGGAACTCCCAGCCAGCGGTCCCCGTCTGAGCCTCTCACCCCACTGTTTGCACAGCATGCGGTTTTCCGTCTGCCTTCTCCCTTCAGCCCAAGCACTTCCTCCCTTCTCTGTGCACCCTGTTAGTCCTCTGAAGTGACTGGTGACAGGTGAAACCCAGAACAGTTTATTCCTTTTCAAAAGTAGAGATTGGGCTGAAGATTCAGAGCAGTCCCTGCCTCCCGAACAGAGGGAAAGAAATGCACGTGGGGCTGGGGAGCCCAGGTGGCTAGGTGGCGTCCGGATGTGCAGAGCTTGCGGGCTCAGTCCCCCGTCGGGCACACACAAGAATCAACCAGTGAATGCGTGGATAAGTGGAACAGCATACCCCCCCAGATCAATCAATACACTCCTTCTAAATGCGTGGGGTGCATGTGCGAGTCGGGTCAGCAGTCCCCGGGCAGGGGTAGCGGAGGAAGAGATGGCCCCGGCTCTGGATTGCGTCTGGACCTGGCGAAGGGGTCGGGCATGTCTGCAGTGCCCTGTCTTTCAGGAGAGGTGCTTCATCTCTGGGAAAGATGCGTCGTCCCAGGCGGGCATCGCACGCTGCCAGGCTGATGGGACTGTAAATGCTAGAGATGGCGGAGGCAACTTTGATTCAGGTCTGAAAGGTGATATTGTTACCTGGCTGACACTTTGCTCTGCAGTATACATGCTTCGTTTGATTATTTTCCCTTTCTTCTGGAATCCTTATGCTGTGGATGTCTAGCAGTTCTGCCAGAGATTTTTTTTTAGTTTTTCTTTATTGATTTGACAGAGAGGAGAGAGAGATAGAGACATCCATGAGAGAGAACATCGATTGGCTACCTCCTGCATGCCCCCCACTGGGGATTGGGCCCCCAACCTGGGCATGTGCCCTGACCGGGAATCAAACTGGCGACTTCTTGGTGCAGGGGTCACCGCTCAACCTCTGAGCCACAGTGGCCAGGCTGCCAGAGAATTCTTGAGGCATTTGATGTTTTGAGAAAGACACAACAGGGTAATGCATAGGGAATTTCTTTTTTTATTTTATTTTTTGTTTGTTTATGTTTTTTAAATTCTCACCTGAGGACATTTTTCCATTTATCATCAGCTAGAGTGGGAGGGAGGGAGAGAGAGAGAGAAACATCCATTGGAGAGAGACACATCGACTGGTTACCTCTCAAATGACCCAACCAGGGCCGGGGATGAACTACAACCAAGGCACGTGCCCTTGGCCGGAATTGAACCTGGGACTCATTGATCCATAGGACGATGCTCTAACCACTGCGCAACCAGCCAGGGCTAGGGGGAAGTTCCTCAAATTCAGCAAGAGGAATCCAGTGATGGAGAGAGCCTGCCCGTAGCTCGATAGAGAAAGGAGAGGTGTGGAAGTCAAGCACGGAAAGCCCAGGTCCTACACCTAGTGGGTCAGATGCATGTCCTTGCTGTGTAGTCTCCATGTTGTTCGTCTCCATGACGCGCTGACGGAGTGGTGACCATGAAGTAGTTAGAGAGGACCCTGCTGCCGGGTGCGGGGACAGGAGGCCCACGTCCCTGCAGTGCCAGTCGATAGCAAAGCACCTGAGGGCCACTGTGAGCACTCCCAGCCCTCCAGGGATGAGAGCCATGAATGTGGCTAACCCTGCTGTTTTGTTTGTTCATTTTCATAGCACAGGTGTGCCCGTAAACCTCCTTGGGCTTATGCTGATCACTGTTACACATTTCTTTCTTTCTCAACAAGTGTTTATCGCATGCTGTTTCGCTTACATGCTGACATAATAATGTTACATAACAAACCACCCCAGTAGTCAACCGCTCTAAGCAACAGTGACTTATTATTAAAGCACCTGATTGAGGAGGGTGGGCGCTCTGCTCTGGGCTGGCCTCGGGGGGTCTGGACTGGTCTCGATCATGCTTCAGGGGTTTGTCTGGCTGCAAACTGATCCCAGCTGCCTTCTGTGTGACTGGGGTGACTTCACTCTGCTTCATGTGGCATACACCTTTGTCTTGGGGCTAATGAGTCACTCCGTCCTTCTCATGGTAATTGTACAGGACAAGAGGCAGATACAATGAGCAGGCTCGTTCTAAGCCTCCGCCTCCACCACCGTGTCTGCTGACAGCCTGTTAACCAAAGCAAGTCACATCACTGAGCCAGGGGCAGGAGGCAGGACAGGGCCGGTTGCTTCGGCCTCGGTGGAAGGGCACTACCAAACAGCATGACAGTGGATGTGGGCACCGGGAAAACCAGGACCAGTGATTCAGTCCGCCTCCTGCACCCATGTGTGCCGGGCACTGTTCTGTGTGCTGGAGATTCAGGAAAACGCCACCAGCCCCTGCCCACATCATCATTCTCCTGCAAGGACACAGAAAACTCCTCAAGCACTAAATTAATAGCACGTTAGAAAATCACTTCTATGGAGAAAAACGTGTCCATGAAACAGAAGAGGAAGCTTGGAGGAGGGGGACATGGGCTCGAATGAGTGGATGGCAAGGCTCCTTTGGGGAAAGGACCATTGAGGAAGCCTTGAGGGAGGTCTGAGGATGAGCCTGCAGGTCCATCGGAGAGTGTTCCTAGCTGAAGGGACAGTGGGCAGAGAAGCCCAGGGGGGAGCACAGCTGGCAGGACAGGAAGGACGCCGGGAGGCTGGCCCGGGGGAGAGGGGCGCCGAGAGGGGCAGCTCCACAGTGTGCAGGGCCCCCAGGTCATCGTGCTCTCGCTCAGGTGGGAGGCCAGGGGCCCGTGTTTGACTTAGTTTCAGCAGGCTCACTCGGCCTCTGTGCTGAGGCTGGGCGTGCGGGGAAGCGGGGAGACCAGGAGGCCCTGTGCGAGCTTCTCTGGGAGGTGGTGATCCTTGGACCATGGTGACAGCAGCAGAGGTGGTGAGAAACGGCTGGTTTGTGTGCGTTTTGTTGGTGGCACAGGGAAATTGCTTGTACAGTGGGTAGGGAGCATTACTTCACTAGAGGTACTATAACACATACCACCGTTTGTGGCTTAAAGAAGAGCAATTTGTTTTCTCAGTTCCGTGGGACAGATGTCCCGGATCAAAGTGTTAGTGGATTTTGTTCCTGCTGAGGACCACGAAGGAAGGGCCTGTTACTGGCCTGTCTCCTGGGCTTGTACACGGACGGCCTTCTTCCTCCTGCCTCTTCCTGTCAGCTCCCCTCTGCACACGTCTGTGCAAGTTCCCTCTTACATTCTTATGATGCAGACACAGCCACGTTGACTCGGCCTACCTGAGGGACCTCATTTTCACTCACTCACTCACTCCTACATAGACCCCATCTCCACATGTGCCCACTTCTGAGACCCTGGGGTTATGGCCTCATCCTGTGAATGTTCAGATGGACACCATTCAGGTCGTACATGGAATGTGAGAGAAGGAGTAGAATCCAAGTGACATCAGGGTTTCCGATCTGGTGGAGTTATCAGTAACAGGAGGGGGGCAGGAGATGAGCTCCGATTGAGCACACCGCGTTTGAGATGCCGCCAGATGGCCAGCGGAGATGTTGATAAGGCAGCTGCATATTGATTTCTGGGGTTTGGGAAGGAGGCTGGAGCTGGGGATACAGATTTGAGAGTCATTTGCATAGAGATGCGTTAACACTCACGGGACTGGGGACATCGCCTGGGGAGTGTTGGCGGCGGAGACGAGGGCCAGAGCCTGAACAGGGAGCGCTCCGACGTGAAGGGGACAGAGAAGAAAAAGATGTGGGAAAAGAGGTTGAGAAAGAGGTAGGCAGGGACCCAGAGCAGGGTGGTGTCCCAGAAGACAATGTTTCAACAGGACAGGTCAGCAAAGGTGAGAACCAAAGAGCTGGCCGTTGGACGTGTGCTGGGGACGGTCACCGTCTGCAGTCCGAGTGTTGGGAAGGCACTGTTGGAGGAAAAAGCCTGATGTGTAAATTTCCAGGAGACAATTAAAGGAGAGGAATTGTAGATACAGAATATTAACCACACTTTTGAGTAGTTTTGTAGAAAGGGGAAGCAGGAAGTAGGACATGCAGGGGTGCGCACATTGGACTTCACGTATGCCATGGCTGTGTGCAAAGATGCATCAAGATGTGCTATGTATATTTTATATGTATGTACACATATTTTATTCACTATGAATTCAGGTATGCACATTTAAAAATAATTGTAATGATCAGACTAGCTAAACACGGCTGCTCCCTCTTCCCCTGGGTGTAGTGGGAATGGTTTTAGTGTGGAGACACGTTTTCTCTTAGTATAATATTAGTTAATCAAAGCTTTTTCTTTTCTTTCTTTTTTTCCCAGGTTTAAAAAGTTTGATGACAAATACCTGCGGAAGCTTCTGATTCGGGAGAGCCAGCCCCGGTCGAGCATCGTGTCCTTATACAAGAAGCTGGAGATCAAGCACGCCATCGAGATGGCGGAGACCGGGGTCCTGAGCGCAGCGCCCTCCTCCGCGTCCCTGAAGTAGGCCACTGCCCAGAGGGAGGCTGCTGCTGCTCAGTGTGCCTTCCGGTTATTTTGAAACCAGTAATAATGGCAAATTTAACCTGTGTCCTAGAGAGATACCATAAGTTCTCTCAGAAGAATGCAGTTCTGCTCATGACGTCTGGTTGCGTTATGTTGTTTTAGAGCCCAGTGGTCAGAAAGGATCTTGTCGTGGGCAGGGAGAGTGTGCTTTTAGCATAGTTGCTGTGGGCAGCTCAGTGCTTTTTGAAAGTGAATGCAAGTCTCCTCAGTAGGCATTCTGAAGTGGAGTACTTTAAGGGGTATTATATTTGCTTGTAGTTACTTAGCTCTTGTCTCAGAGATGACTCGGTGCCATAGTTCAGGGCTGGGAAAGATCGGTGGTTTACTGATTTCCTCCGCAGTCCTCTCTGCGCAGGCTGCACGTGGGAACAGCGTGAGAGCTTGAAATACACGTGCCAGGGCCCCCGGCCAGGAGCACAGACCCCTGGTTCTGAGGGCCAGGTAGAAGTACCTTTATACGTTCTTCAGATATTTCTAATTTAAGCCAGGGCTGAGATCTGCTACCTAGTATGTCTCTTAATTTTAAAAGAGAGGAAATTAAGACTCAGAAGTAATTTACCCAAAGTCTTATAGCAAAATTATAGCAGAATAGTTAATATTCAATTAGCAAACGAGGCTATATCATCATGTAAGTTAAGCATCATTTCTTTTCTGTCACAAAAATGATAGCAGTTAAGGGTTCCACTGGTTTCTTCTTTCACTGATGAGCCTGGAGGTCATTTAAACTAATTGTCACCTAATTAAAATCCTATCTGTGAGAGACTTAAATGAGAGAGGAAGCTTCAAACCACCCAGCCTCACAGGCGATGTTTACAAGACTATAAGCCTCCTGTAAAATCACGGGCGTTTACATAGTCAATCCAGAATAAAAGAAATAGCGATTAGAAGGTCTGGGAGGCGAAGCTTTGTATTGCATCATAAACAGTAGTGAATTGAGCAGAATGGCTGACTTACAGTCTCACTCTACAAATAACTCTCTGTGTGACCTTAAGTTCGCCCATTTATTGCCCTGAGATTGAGTTTTTTCAAGTGAAAAATGGAGCTGGACTTCATTGTTAAGTTTCCCTCTAGCTTTTACAGTTTCATGATCTTTCTTTGCACTGTTCCACTGCAGCCGAAGCAAGGCATCATTCACCATCCAGCCTCCCGAGGAGAGCCACTGTGTTTGTAATCACGGAATAAAGAGTCTGTCTTACTCTGTGTTCACAGTTCACTTTGGAGTTGGTAGTGAGCAGGCAAAGACAAATGTGTAGGGTTAGGGAAATAGGGAACACAATGGCTAGCTTCGTAATTGGCTAAATGAGTGCCATGTTAACCATTCCATCTCCCCTAAAATGTTTTATCTAGAGCAGAGTAGAAGCAGGAAGAGAGGTGATAAGGAATTGTATTTCTGATAATAACGGCCTGAGTGTTACAGACCAAACCATCTTCTGAGAATAGGTAAAAAGTACAAAATATATTATAAAAATCTGCTTGAAAGCCAGAAAGTACCAGCATGTGTAGGAACTTTTTTAGCCAAGAGTCAAGGGAAAGGGAAGTACGAGAAGACGGAACTGGCATTTGGTGCTGTTTCTGTCCATGGATTGCGGAGAAGGCGTCTGAGAGTCCGAAAGGGTGAAACAGAAGTTCTGACAGGCAGCTGATCTTAGAGAATAAAGCTGCAATGTAGGGCCCACAAAGGAGGAGGAGCTTCTGTATCAGCCATAGGTGTTTCCTCGAGTTCTGCACCTTCACCCTCCAATCAAAGAAGTCCAGCCGAGGATTGTCTGCGGTTGTCTATATTATCTGAGATGGATGTCACCCCATCCCAGTTGTCGGAGAGAAGTAAACCTAAATCTTCTCTGGAGGAAAGCGAGATTATACTACCTCCATGATTTTCATAGTTCATGTCTAGCAACCAATCAAAAGAAAATGAGTAGACAAGAAAATGTGACCGAAAACACTTAGAAAAAGATAAAAACAGAGTAAATAGGTAAAAAGGGGATTCAGATAATAGAGTTATCAAACATGGACTTTAAAATAAAGATAATATGCTTAAAGAAAGAAAATGGCATGGACATTTTTGGCACTTTGTGGAGATTATATGAATAAAAATATCTTGGTGGAATATTTGAGCTAAAAATAAAGTAACTAAATTTAGGGTCTCATTTGATAGTAAACATAGGTTAGATACAGCTGAAGTGATAATTGACCAATTGGGAGATAGGTCAGAAGAAAATAACCAGAAAGAAGCACAAAGTGAAGAAAGGGATGAATAATATGGGAAAGAAAGTAAGAACATGGAAGATAGTCAAAAGCTCCAAAAGGAGATGAGAGAAAAATTGTCAGAAGCAATATTTTAAGGCAAAATGACTAATAATTTCCCCAAACAGATACAAGACATGAAATGTTACAAAACCCAAGCAGATTAGATGTGAAGAAAACCACATGCAGGTATATTATAATAAAAACTGCTAAAAATAAAAAACACAAAGAGAAGATTTAAACATACTCAGAGAAAAAGAGATCTATTTTCTTTAAAAGGCAAAAAACTGACAATTCTTTTTCTTTCTTTAAATTTTTATTCTCACCCGAGGACACTTTTTTTTTTGCATTTAACTTCAAATAGAGTGGGAAGGAGAGAAGGAGGAAGTGAGAGAGAGAAACATCAATGTGAGACAGACACATTGAGCGGTTGCCACCCACACGACCCCAACTGGGGCCAGGGACAAAGTGCAACTGAGGTACGTGCCCTTAGTGGGAACCAAACCCAGGACTCTGGTCCATGGGCCAAAGCTCTCGCCGCTGAGCCAAACTGGCCAGGGCGAAAGTTATTTTTCAACAACCATGGTGGAGACTATTGTTATCATCAGAATTCCTAAAGTGATGTATACCTAGAGTTTTATATCATGCTAAATATTCTTCAGAAAAGTAGATTAAAACCATTTTCAGACAAATAAAACCATTACATTAAAATGAATGATAAAGAGTTTCAGACAAAAGGAAAGAGTTTCATAGAAAAGCTTGCAGATGAAGGAAAGAATTAAAACAATGGAAATGGTAAATATTTGTACAATTTAAATGAGTATTAATTGCATAAAATAATAATATCTGTGAGGTTTTAAATCTATACCAACTAACAACAATAATCGCTTATAAATTGAGAGGGAGGGGAATGGTATTATTTTATTCTAAATCTTTGCATTGTCCAGAAAGTGGTAAACATAAAAATGTGTTTCGGACTTTAATAAGTCAATGAGTAATGTTATAATCCCAGGTAATCACACACAAAAAAGTAAAAGAATATAATCAGCCAACATAGAAGAGAAATGAAATAACAAAATAAAATGTATTCTAAAAGGGCAGCAAAGTAGATAAAACAATCATAGAACCTCTGGGACAAACAGAATGCAAATAGTAAGAAAGTAGTCTTAACCTCAAGTTCTGTGAACTATAAATGGACTCCATGGAAAGGCAGAGACGGCCCGGCTGGTGTGGCTCAGCGGTGGAGCGGCCAAGCACCCGCCGAGAGGCCGCGCAGGGCTCCGTAAAGCTGCCCGTGAACACTGATTCACAAACACTGAACCGTGCTCCTGGGGAATAAGACCGCTAGGTTCCTGTGAGCCTCTGGTCACAATGTTTTAATCAGCCAATCAATACATAGTTTTGTTCTGTTTGAAAACATCTTATTAAAATACATTGTTGTTTCATCAGTATGGAACTTGTGGCCTCGGCTGTCTAACGCTGCTTTTCTGCAGGAGACGGTCCCAGCCTCAGTGCACAGAGGAGCACTGGACCCCCTTCAGAACTGTGCTGAGGGGCCCTTTAAAACAGCAAAATCACTAACAAAAACTGCAAAACTGTGAAAAATGTGTCACTAAATAGACCATGAGAAGGATACTTTTTAACAGTACTAGAGCTAAAACCAGAAGGCAAAGCATTGGGATGTTCATCTTCATTTGGGAGCCTGCATGTCAATCACCTCAGACTTTTCTCCACTTGGCACATGCCCGTGAATGACGGGGAAAGTGCCGCAAGTATCGACAATCTGTTTATAAATCGTTTTAGCAGGTCGCTGAATGATGGGGATCGATTGTATGTACATACATATTATGAATGGTGTCTTTGCAAATAAACCTAACAAAATGTTTCTGGAGCCCAGGCCAGAAGAGCAAAATGCAGCTAATTAAGTTTCTGTTGGGAAAAAAATCCAGTTACTTTTTTATGGTGTATTAAGAATAATAAAGTGATAGAAGTATAAGCTTCTATATTAACTTCCTTAAAAAGTAACTGTGTGGCCCCGACCGGTGGTTAGAGCATCAGCCCTAGGACCAAAGAGTTGCATGTTCGATTCCGGTCAAGGGCATGTACCTTGGTTGCAGTTTGGTCCCCGGCCCTGGTTGGGGTCCTGTGGGAGGCAGCCAGTCGATGTGTCCCTCTCACAGTGATGTTTCGATGTTTCTCTCTCTCTCTCTCTCTCCCTTCCTCCCACTCTATCTGAAGATAAACAGAAAAATATTCTTGGGTGAGGATTAAAAAAAAAAAGTAATGGCATGAACAGCATGATTATACTTGTCCTGAAGGATCTTGCACTGAGCTGACATTTTTAGAATTTTGAATTACTTTAAAATGTTGAATAATTCTTAAATGTCATTCTTTAAAGTAAGATTCTTCTTCTTATATAATGATATTATGTTTCTAAGAATTAATATCGGTGATTTCAATATTTGTTGACTAGTAAAACATTCTTTTTCTAAACTTTCAGTGACTGTCGTGAAGAAAAAATAAGGAAACTCACGCCTGGTGAAATGGATGAAATTCGAGAAATATTATCAAGAAATCTCTATCAAATCCGTCAGCGAGTGAGAATAATTTATTTAACAAAATATTTACTTGCTTTTGATTAAAAATATGCCTTCTGGTTTTTTACTATCCAATTATAGTGGATACTGTCCCCCCCATCACACCAACCTCCGTGGTCCCGCCCCAGGTACCCCGCCCCGGCAGTGTGCTGTCCTGTCGGGCGCCGCTGTCCTCAGCATTGGGAGCCTTTCGGGAGCTGTGCACTGTGGGCAGGGCAATTATATATAGAGATATAAAATATCTATATAGATTTTTATATATATATAATTGAGAAGAAAATAATTGATTGCTTTTTGTTTTATTTTTAAATGAAATACCTTTATAGCTTAGAAGACTTTTAAAAATATATTTCATCTTCCTTGTTATTCATAAAGTGCTAGAGTTCCTTCCTTGAATATGTCATCGGAGTCACATTTTAAACTGCATTTCCATTGTTAACACCTCATTTTAACAATTTGCTAAAAATATAGCTAACACTTATATAGATTGTGAGTGGATATAATCTGCCAGGCCCATTTCAGTGCATTGCATGTATTAGCTCATTTAATCCTTCAATAAATGGTGTTACTATTGTCTCCATTTTACCAGTGAAGAAACTGAGGCACAGGGAGGTGAAGTGGTTCGAGCAGCTACTTGTCAGGTGTCCACTTCGATCGTGTTGGGTCAGCTCTGTAGCTTCTTCGCGCTTCTCCCCAAAGGCTGCCCGAATTCCACACTAGTTGTTGCTGTTCCTCTGCCCTTGCCCTACAACACTTTGTTGTTAGTCCTCACCGAACCCCGACCTGGGCAGGGGATTGAACCTGCAACCCAGGTACGTGCCCTGACTGGGAATTGAACCCAGGACCCTTCAGTGCACAGGTCGATGCTCTAAGCACTGAGTAACTGGCCAGGGTCCTAAGGCACTTTTAATAGCAGCATTCCCCTATAAGAAATAAAACCAAACAATTCTTGTGGCTTCCAGGCTGAACTGTTCTTTCAGAATCCGGGGTCTCTGTTTCCGCGTTCCACTTGATCCACCTGATTCCCGTGCCCCTCCCTCGCCGCCCGACCTCACAGAGCACAGCGAGCTGCCTTCATTCCCGGGCAGTGGGCCAGCGGGGGCAGCTCTTCCCTGTTTCCACTGAGCTTCCTGTCCGCTCGGTTGATCCATACTCTTCATCTTCCATTTTTAAGGTTCCCGAACACCTTACATAGCATTCCCAACCTGGTCTTTAAATGGGCTCACATATGTTTAGCATTTAATTTCATGACTTTGTATTATTTTGTAGCCTCAGATGGCACGTCTCAAGGCGGGGGTTGGGCCCTGTCCTGTGTTACTTCTGTCTGTCTCTACTAGGCTGAATGGAGCCTGGGCACAGGGATAGTCCCAGGACGGCTAAATTAATTCTATCAGAACATGAGCCCAATTGAAAATTACAGTTGTTTTAGGAAACAGATTTCTGTATAGCTTACAACACTTAAAATGCACGCTGTGCACGGCGCAGCTTGAGGCCCTTCACTGCCTCAGATACTAGTCTTGAGACGGCCGGAGGTGGGGGCAGCTTTCCCAGTCCGGCACCCCGCTAAAAGGACTGTTCCCGGGCGATTATCAGAAGGACATAGCACCACCAAGTGGCTCAAAGTGATTTGTTTTTATACCAGTAATTGCAATTCAACAGAGGACGGAGAAAGCAGACTTGTATTTGTTCCCCAGCCACTAATGATGGGTGAATAACATACAAGGTTCTTCAAGGTAGACGGAGGCACTTGACAAATTCAGTCATTTTTCTCATGTATAAAGAAAGATCACACTTTCCAATGGGGGTAAGAAAAATAAAACTTATTCGCTGTCTTTATTAGAAGATGAATTCTTTCAAAATGTGAAGGCACGTTAACTTCCATCGTTTTGTTTTCTTTTCTCTGCACGTCCGTTGTTGGGTACCTCGCCAAGATGCAATGCCCAAGAAACCTAGTCAAGTTCTGGAATTTCTGGGGCAGTGAGCAGTGTTGTGTGTGTTTGTAAAATGTCACTTGTGTTTTCATTCCAGACTTTGTCATACAACAGACACAATCTGACTGCCGACACCAGTGAGCGACAAGCCAAGGAGATTCTGATCCGACGCAGACACAGCCTGCGGGAGAGCATCAGGAAGGACAGCAGCCTGCTCCGGGAGCGCAGGGTACTGGGTCTGCGCGGACGCTCTGCTGAGGGCCGAGTCGGGGAATCTGGGACAGGGTTCATCTGAAGTCTTGTAGATGTTTCCTGAACACCTGTTATGTTCCGGACATAGTTCTGGGCACTTGGGATACATCGGTAAACTAAACGGAAAGATACTTACGCTTCTAGAATTAATATTCTCTTCAGGGGGAAAGTGATCACCAACAGAGAGAATAAGCACATTATCTGTTACAAAGAAGTCAGTCAGTGCTATGGAAAAAATGAAGAATTGCCAAAGAAGGAAGTTGGGAGTACAGGGGAGGATCAGACAGGTTGTGATTTTAGACATATTGGCTGGGCCAGGCTTCATCTGGAAAGTAATATTCTCCTTTCCAGGGAGAAGTGGTAGCCCAAAGGCAGGCAAGCCCTTGAGCTGACTTTGGAAGGCCACAGTGGCCAGGAGCAAGTCTTCACAGCACAGTGTGCTCAGCATTTACTGAGTCCAGGGCGTTGTCAATAGACGAGAAAAGCCATTTCAACGTGATAACATGATTGCTACATTCAATACAGCAGGCATGCATCTTATTTTTAATAATATTCTTATTTGGTTGTTAGAGATCACAATTTTTATTTTTTTCTTTATTGATTTTTTAGAGAGAGAGGAAAGGAGAGGGGGAGAGAGATAGAAACATCGATGAGAGAGAACATCAATTGGCCACCTCCTGCATGCCACCCACTGTGGATCGGGCCTACAACCTGGGCATGTGCCCTGACCGGGAATCGAACCAGCGACCTCTTGGTACATGGGTCGATGCTCAACCACTGAGCCACACCGGCCAGGCAAGATCAGAATTTTTGTGTGTAAACAAGATTAACTTTTTCTTTGTGTTCAATGTAGTAGCACTGATGAAAAGTTAATTAAAGAAACTCAAGATAATGGTATTGGAAATGCAGCAAATTAGCTATAATAATACTCTTTGTTCTATTATTTTCAAGACTTATTCAAGTAAAATAGGCTACAAATTTTTTATCTATCTTCTGCATACACATAGTTCTAAGGCCTTTTTTGCTCATGTCATAAATAGGTGATTTGGTAGCTTTTCCTTAAGAAAACCCAGTGGTTTTCACATCTTGTTCCGAATGGTCATACTTTTTTTTTCCATTTTTTTTTACTCTTGACTTACATATTTTAGAAGAGATTTAGTGATTTTAAATTAACTAATTATTGCCAGGAACTTTCTTCTCAATCCCTAAAGCCCCTCACAAAATAATTTTGGCATTGAGAACTAAAATTTTAATTTTTCACAAGGTTTGTTGTAAGACTTTAAAGTTCTAATAAACACCATCTGCGTAGTCTGTAAATCTCTGTTTCTTCTGCAGGCGTCCACGTCAGCCTCCCGATACTTATCCTTACCCAAAAATACAAAGCTTCCCGAAAAGCTACAAAAGAAAAAGAATATTCATAATACAGGTAATGAATACAGTTGGAGCAAAAAGACCTAAAATGTATTTAGTAATGTGTATAAGATAGAAAGATGTCTCTATTCTGCTTCTTCATTAAGCACAATAGCTTGCAGATCTAAAGTAACAACACGGTGGCCTTTTATTAGCATTGCAACCTTTTTGAATGGAGTTCTGTGTACGTTACAAAATTCATTTAGTTATTTTTCATAATGATTCTGTTCGATAAAGCAAAAGCAAATATTATCACCATGTGGTTAATATCACCCTGGCTCCTTGGTCTCAGGGAAAGGCCATCTCGCTGACACGGAAAACAGAAAAGCTATAAATTGATGTTCAAAGGCATGTTTAATTTTGTACAGTAACTATTTTCATAAAGGCAGCCATATATTTTACTTCTGTATTTGCGCTTTGACATAAAGTTGAATATCTCTTTATTTGGTAATAATCTTTTTGTAGACTCCACGCCATTTTTTGTGAAACCTCAGAACTATGTTAGGATATCATGTTCTTAAAATGTAGATATAACAATAATACCCCCACCTTGTTTTCCTTGTTTATTGATTTAACCAAGAAGAGAGCCTCCTGGTGGCCTTTGGTAGTGGAGGGCGAGGTGAGGATGCGGAGGGAGGGTGTGAAGGGCAGTGGCTATGTTACCTCCGAGCGTCCAGCGAAAATGCTGTTTCCAAGAGTGTCACCTGCTGGGAGGCGGCCATCCCGTCCTCCCCACGGTCCACCAGGACCTCGGCTTTTTTTGTTTTTGTTGTTCAGATAGAGTGGGAGGGAGAGAGAGGAAGAGAGAGAGAAACATCGACGTGAAAGGGACACATCGAGTGGCTGCCACCCGCAAGACCCATCCAGGGCTGGGGACAAACTGCACCCGAGGTACGTGCCCTTAGCGGGAACCGAACCCGGGTCTCTCTGGACCGCAGGCCGATGCTCTAACTGCTGAGCCAAACCAGCCAGGGCCAGGACCTCAGCTTTGACAGGGAGCTGGTTCTCGTCCTGCCTCTGCCCTTTGTTTGGACAGTGCAGGTTGGTGCTTGAACCCTTTTGTAAGAACAGGAGGACAATAAACAAGGCTGTGTGTGAGATTCCACATCAAGACAAGGTCTTCTCGGTGTCTTCCTGTGGGCGGGGCCTGAGCAGAGCCCTCCTGGTGGTTCCCGGCAGGGGACAGCAGGACCCCGGCTCCTTGGTGTCAGGGGAAGGCCATCCCCACCACGCGCGGACACTCTGACCCTCAGCTCCATCTCTGAAAGCGGGTGATGCTGGGCGTTCCACAGCCGAGCAGCCACCAGTGCTGGTAGCAGGAGCTCTGCCCGTGGTGTGAACGCACGAGTGGACCAAGGGCCCGGAGACCCTGCCCGCCGCCTGGTCGGGTCTCTGGCTGCCGTCCAGGGGAGCCCCGCCCAGCAGGCGCCCACAGGTGCGCGCAGGCAGCCCCCTCCCGCCTTGCCCACACTGTCCTTTCGCCCCTGCAGGTGGAAGCAGCAGCGACTCCGACACCGAAGCCGGGACCACCGTCCTCAACCTGCAGCCCCGAGCGCGGCGCTTCCTGCCGGAGCAGTTCTCCAAGAGGGGCCCGCAGGCCTACCGCGTGGAGTGGAAGAACGAGGTGGCCTCGGACTCTGGCCGGGGGCAGCCCTGCCACCCCCCGGCGCCCCACAGCAAGGAGGGCGCCACCCAGACCCCGGGCGTGCTCCGGCAGCCCCTCCTCCCGGGGGGCCCGGGGGGCCCGGGGCGGGAGCACGGTGTGGCAGAGGGCCAGCCACCCAGGCCGCCGCCCAGGCTGGTCCGCAGGGCCTCGGAGCCCGGCGGCCGCAAGGCCCGCTTCGGGAGTGAGAAGCCCTGATGGAAATGGCCCAGGCACGGGGCTTTCGGTCCACAACCCGGCCCGGACTGGGCCTCCTCTCCAAGCCCTCCGTGCGGCCAGACCCTCTCCCTGGGGCCGGGGCCGTGCCTTGGGCGAACGGACGACTGCTCAGCCCCAGAAGAGCAAAACTGGGGAGAAAGTCCCATGAAATGTCTTTTATGACTTGCCAGCAGCCTGGTCTTCCCAGGCCTAAGAGAAGCAGTGTGCCTTCATCGAACTTGAATGACTGAACTTGACATTTTTAACACACTCTTGTTGGTGAGAATTTTAATATATACATATGCCTCAAATTTTATTTATGAAAAAAGATAGGTATATCTGTGATCAGTTTTTAAGTGAATGGCACTAAAAATACTCAGAACCTCTTCCCAAGGTGTAGAGGGCAGTCCCCGTGGCTGGCAGGCCACCGGCCGAGTCCAGGCCATTCGGCCGAGCTGGGGAGCAGAGGAGGTGGCCTGGCTCCCAGAGCCTCATCAGAGGTCCTACCACCCTGCAGAATAATGAAAATCGGCTGGTTTTTAATTTGTTCCCCATTGTACTGCGTGACGGGGTGACATTGAGCCCATCGCCTCTTCCTGTTTAAATGGTGCGAAGAGAAAGGCTGTGTGGGCAACACCAGTTTGTGATGTGTGACACTGGGCCGCTTTCAACCAAGCTCCCCGTGGGGCCTCGTGTGGCTGTGGGGAGGCAGGGAAACCTGTTGGCAGGTTTTCTGGTGTGTGATGCTGAGCAAGAGGCAGGAGAGTCTGTTCACACCCATCTGACCATCTGCTTCAGAACTTTTCTGTAGAACGTTCTAGAACTTGGCATCCAGGCCACAGAGGCTCTACGGAGACAAGGTTGAAAGTGTATGTGAAGAGTATGCCAGTGTTTAGTAAGTTGGTTAGAGTTCAGGTTTTGAATTTCATGCAGGCAGGCAGCACTTTGGAGGGTGTGGGAGCTGTTACCTTGCACTAGTCCGTACACGCTCCACCTCCCCCCACACAGGGTCACTCGGTTCTTCATATGAAAATGGGCTCTGCTCAGCTGAGTCCCTTTGTAAGTACAGCGGTGGAACGTGATCATTAAAAATGAATTGAGTCTCTGTCTCTCTTATACTGTAGATTTTATTGGCCTGTCATTTTTTTCTGGGTAAAAAAGCCCTCTTTAAAACTTGACTGGAACAAAATTCCTAAGTTCTGGGTTTAGAGGTGAAATTAAGCCAGGCCTGCAGCTCCATGGAGTCACACTGAAGGTAGAACAAGGATACAGTGGCCACAGTGTCACTGATGGAAAACATACAAGCACTGCAACAAGGACCTAGCACGTGGAAATACTGGCCCCTCTTCCGCCCCCATCGATGTGCAGGCGTAGATTTTCTAGCCTTTATTCTCATGTTGTGAAGTCTTGGAACACTGACTGTTGGGCGAGACTGAGGGCGGTATTCATACGGAATAGAAGCTCGGAAGAACGCAGTGTGGCTTCCTTCCAAACTCGCCCTGCTGACCAGCGGACAGCGGTGCAGACACAGTTTGAAAACCACAGGCTTGGGATTCTGTGCCAAAATCTTAATTTTAAATATTTATATAAAATATATATTACATCGGCTGAAAAGAAATTAAAACGGACTGACTTTAGAATTTTATTATAGGAATATGATTCAAGGGATGTGATGTAATTCTGGGACTGACAAGAGTAAGTTTTAAGAACTTCGTTTATAAAATTTTAAAGGAAGGTTGAAATGGAAAATGGCCTTAAGAAATTTCCTGATTTTTCCCGGTGTTGTATATTAATAAATATTATAAGGGGTCGAAATTTCTGGAACTGGAGAATAAAATGAAATTTTTTATAACAGGTTTTCCTCTTAAGTTGGTAGACCAAATTCAGCTTTCACTTATTAAAAGTCAGATAAAAAAATTACATGACATTGTGTAAATTTTGAAAAAGGGGACACGTTATTTTATCCTTATCAATATAAAATTTTCTAATTTGAATGATAAAAAATGAAAAATAAATTTGACTTTATTTAGCTTTCTATCTATACTTCTTTTTTATAAAGCTGTTAAATTCTATACATGAAGGAAGGAGAGTATGGAGTTGAAACCCTCTAACTAAATATGGCGACAATCTAAATTTCTGTAACACAGAAAGATCCTCTACCTTTGATAATGACCCCCTTAGCTGGAACACTATCCAACCAAAGTTCCATTGTGAGTACAGAACGTTGATGGGTCTCTGGGGTTTTGGTAACAAATCTGATTCTTACTGCCTGTAAGTGAGAAGCCAGGGCCTATGTCTTTATACATAATACTAAGGGCCAACTGCTGGGAGCAGTTATGGCAGCTAGTGAACAACTAGAGATCGGCCCGTGGAATCTGGTACTTGGCTGGAATTCCTTTGGTTTTTGCTGAGCTTTGTGGTAGAGGCACCCATTCCACTGAGGCGGGGGGGGGGGGGGGGGGCTTGTCTATATAAGAAGCCCAAAGAAGCACAGCTAGCCCTGGCCGGTTTGGCTCAGCGGTTGGAGCGTCGGCCTGCGGTCCTGAGAGACCCGGGTTCGGTTCCCGCTGGGGGCGCGTATCTCGGTTGCAGTTTGTCCCCGGCCCTGGTCGGTTGTGCGGGTGGCAGCCACTCGATGTGTCCCTTTCACATCGATGTTTCTCTCTCTCTCTCTGTTCTTCTCTCTCCTCCCACTCTACCTGAATAAAAAATGGAAAAATGTCCTCGGGTGAGGATAAAAAAAAAAAAAAAAAAAAAAAGAAGCACAGCTATTTATTACATAGCCGAGCATGGTCTTTGTCCGTTGTGCTGTCCAAATCCTGTTTATGTTAACACTGGCATTTTATAATTAATCATGAGAACTGGAGTATTTTGTAGGTCCACAGTTCACGTCTGACCTGATTCTTGAGTGATTAGAGATTTGCTCTGCAGTTGCAGGAGCTGCTGGCATGACCTCTGAGGCCTGCGGCCTGAGCCTGCTGATGTCGATTCCTTCCTCAGCCTCAGAAGGAAAGGCTCAGGACTCACAAGTCTGGTGATCTGAGCTTTTCAGTTCTTTCTTTGCTCCATTTTTGGAACAGAACATGTAGCTTGCTGGTACTTTATATCCCACATTTTAACCAGGCCCTTTCTTCAACTCACTCACAAGGCGAGGGAGGGCTTCACTGGGTGACTGGCAATGACCAAGCTTTGTCCAAGAGAAGTGACACTTCCCTGCGAATGTCCCAGTGCCATCCCCTCTGCATGCTACCTTTACGACTCGCCAATAAATGGCAGGTCAGTTGTCTTACCTCTGTGGTCAGACAATGAGTGTTTCTGTGTGGATTAGCACGTACACTGCAAGCAGATGATCAGGTGTTCGGGGTGCAGAGCACGTTGTCTGGAACGGCTCGGAATTCCCCTCAGGGCCTTTCCGTGGCTGCAGGCTCTGAGGACCATCCTCCTTGTGGGATGTAGAAACCTCTCCACGAGACACCCAGTAGACGAAGCCAAACCCACCAGTGCCGATTTTTCTGACTCCACTATTGTAGCAGAACACCTTGGATAAAATATTCGAATGTTTCTCTTTCACTAAGTTGGGCCTGTGGAGCCGTAGCTAGGTGGTAACAAGGTGTGATGTCAGTGAAGCTCTCCGAATCTAGTACAGGGAGCTCATCTTGCCCAGCGGAAACCTTATGTATTTAACCGACGAGAATTTTTCCTGCTTCCTGCAAAACGCTGTACAAAAGTTTAAATATCAAATCGTATGAGGATAATGTAAATAATAACGTTTGGAGAAAATAATATATCACATGAAACCAGGACAGGCCCCAAAATTCTAGTGTTTAAATTTATATACCAAAACCATTTTTTTTTCCCCAAATCAATACAAGGCTTTTATTGCATCTTTAAAATGTCACAAATAAGTGAGAAAATCATTCGGCATCTTGGTGTTTCTATAGCTGGACAACTTAGACCTTATTCATCGGCCTGCTGAACCGTTCCACTTCAGAAACATGGATACCATCCCCAGAGTTTCTGATATCCTTGTTTTTAACTGTCGTGGCTTGCTGAATCAAAGCAGCTGAATTTGATACAAGTTCAATGTCATTTCCTTCGAGAATCAACTCATTTTTCTGGGCTTGAGATACTGAACAAGCAACACCTGACCTCATCCGAACTCTGCGGATGTATTTTTCGCCCAAGAACTTTCTGATTTCAACAAGAGAAGCATCTCCTGAACAACGACGCTGATGGGGAAGTGAGTATACAGGCCTCCTCTTGTGACGGAGCCCGTGGAACGCCCTCGGTCACGCTCTGCACATGGCTGCAGACCGTGCGAACGGCGGCCAGTTCCTCTCCTCTCCCACCACTTGTCAAGCCTCTTCTTCTTCTGTCCAAGGAGACGGAGTTCTACGCTGATGTGGCTCAAGTCCCTCCGCAGGTGCCTCTGGGGACCTTCACATTTTCTGGGATGTCAACAGTCTGATTGCTGAGAATGGTCTTCATCCTCACAGTAAATGCGGCAAAGAGCCAAAATCATTTTTTTTAAAGAAAAAATCCAAATTACTTTTTTTTTTTTTCTTTATTGATTTTAGAGAGAGGAAAGGAAAGAGAGATAGAAACATCGATGAGAGAGAACATCGACTGGCTGCCTCCTGCATGACCCCACTGAGGATTTGGCCCACAACCTGGGCATGTGCCCTGACCAGGAATCAAACCGGTGACCTCTTGGTGCAGGGTCAACGCTCAGCCACTGAGCCACACCAGCTGGCCCCAAAACCATTTTTGATTGTGCTAAAATGATGTCATGATAGTTGGAATTCATGATTTTGAGTATTAAACATTTAAATTCCTTTCTTTTAAAAAACATGTATATAAAGCAAGGCTAACACCATTACTGTGTTAGAAAACCTGGTTAGAGGAATAAAGATTATAACTGGCCCCTAGATCTTCTGGTAAGCAGGCCCCAGGGCGAAGGAGAGCATGCTGTGAAATACAAAGGCTGCCTTCTCAAGCCAGCCCAGACCAAGAAGTGAGGACTGTCTTAGGGAGTGATTTTTAAAGATACGCAGAGCTGTGCATCACCCACCAACTTGTTTTCCTAACACAGTCTGGCTCACCTCTTCCTTAGGCCTCTGGTTTGTCTTTACCTGTAGCTAGAGATGGCACAGAGAAGGTGCTCTGAAGGTGGCCAGAGGAAAATACTAGCCCTGCTCAGTGACTTCACCACCTGGCACTGTCAGAAGCTGAACTTCGGAGCCTGGCTTGTGCTTCAGCCCCCAGCACAGAGAAAGGCAAACACAGAGCAAATGCCCACCACACACACAGACCCACAGGGCCAGGCCCCAGGCCTCGGCAGAACACGTGTATCGCATTTGGTTCATTTTGGGTATATCAATTTCATTAAACAACTCAGGATAGGTTTTGGTAGGTAAGCTATCACAGGACAAAGTGATTCTCAGTCTGGGTAAGAATCTGAGTCCCAACTATTCAAAACGTAATGAATTCCTTGGCAAGCCCGAAGATCATCTCATATCCTATGATAAATTTTAACTATTAACAGGTATTTTAACTTTTTTTTGTCCTTCACAGTATGACTTAGAAAACAGATTTTTATTTATTAATATGTAGTATATTTTGAATCCAGAGTGATCAAAATACAGTGCTTCGTTGTAACAAGATCCATCCAGGGATTTCCGTGCCTGCAAGCTAGTAGCAGTGAGCACGTCTTCCTTGGTGCTTATGGCTGTCTTCGCCCAGGAGCAAGCTGAGTGCGCACTTTCAAAGTAACAACTGGCACTGTTCCTTACAATGTAGCGAATCAGGAAACAGAAGACATTTTGTTGTTGTTTTCACAGATATCTATAAAATGGTGAGCTTAGACCATATTTGGGAAAAACAAGACATCTAAAGTAATGTTTTAAAATAAGTATTTGATTTTAAAATATTTTAAAATAAGTATTTTATTTCTAATTAGAAATAAATCCTAGTGTGTAACATGTTATCTTGAAACGATGTGCTTGCCGTCTGTGTAGAATATATTTCCGATTACTTTATATCTGGTATCAGCATATGGCTGGCTCACCATGATGATGTCTTAGCTGGAGGTTAGAACTTTCAAGTACTTCAGGACCCTGCTTTAAAATATACATCAGAATACAAAACAATGGTTTATAAAAGTTAAGAATCAGAATAGCATTTTATTATTAAAGAAAATGATTACCATGTAAATGGAAAATTCTTCAGGAAAAGAATTAGGTCTGAAAATGTTTGTTTTTTGTTTATTTTCAGCTCTAACCCCGTGATTCTCAACTTGGGTGTGCGTTGTAAAGAGCAGGTCCTTCGGAGCCTGGCTCTGCAGCTCCAAGAAGAGCCGCATGGTATATAGGTCGTCCTGGCTGATCTGGGTTAACCTAACTCACAACTTTTCAAAGGCCCAAGCTAGCTTCTAGGGGAATCACCATGCTGGCTTTTACTGTGCATTCCAAATAAAAAGCAATTCTTATAGCAGTTGACCAAATGCCTCCCACTCCAGATACCTGAGTATCCTACAGTGTCCTCTGGAAGACGCCTTCTCCGTGTCCTGAATGTTCCAGAGAGAGCACGCCCCTCAATGCCCACACATCCTCCGCCAGGGAGCACAGGACGGGCGGAATGTGCTCCAGGCTCACTAAAGGCCTAACTTGCCTGGGCGTTGTCTACACCAGGCACCTGGTGTCAACAAGGCCCCTTCTAGAATCCTGCTGGAGGTCACCCTGAAAGTCGCCAGGCCTTTCGTACTTTGTCTCCTACCAGCTTCCTTCTCTCCGCGCCCAGGACCACCGCCCCAAACTAGGCTGCTCCCTTCCTGGCCTCCCATTAACCCCCTTGCTGCAGTCAAACACATTTCTTATGAAGGTCCAGAGTGCTCTCCAGCACGAATTCTTCAGGGGCCCTCCCTCACCCGCACCAAAGCTCACTGCCGAGCATGGAGGACGAGCCCCTTTAGATCTGACCCCGTGATTCTCCATTCTGGGTGAAAACACAGACACTGCCCTGGCCGGTTTGGCTCAGCGGTTAGAGCGACGGCCCGCAGACCAGAGAGTCCCGGGTTCGGTTCCCGCTAAGGGGATGTACCTCGGCTGCAGTTTGTCCCCGGCCCTGTTGGGGTGGTGTGGGTGGTGACCACTCGATGTGTCTCTGTCACCTCGATGTTCCTCTCTCTTCCTCTCTCCCTCCCTCCTGCTTTATCTAAGATAAATGCAAAAAACAAACAAAAAACTAACACCAGCCTGGTCCCCCAGGTGCAGGGCAGGATGTGAGTCTGGGCAGAAAAGCACCGACTCTAGCCCTTCTGTTTGCTCAGGCATGACTTACAGACGTCACAGGCATGAGGCCATAGGCCTGAGGTTGGGGGCCCCACACGCTCCTCAGGCTGGGCGTCACCTGTGCCCTTTCTGAGTTTCATTCACACCTGGGACAGACGTACCTTCCCCTCCCTCCGTGGAAAAGCCAAGCCTTCCAGGACGCCAGCCTGGAGGCTGTTTCTCAGTACTGACCACGGGTGCTGGCACGTTGAAAATGCCTGTGCTTCCTGTATGAACTTCCAGGGACGCTCAATGCTCTGAAGTACAATTCCAAGCAAAGATTAAGTTGCAGCACATGAAACTGCAGATATCTGGACTTACAGAATCATTTCAGGTGGCTCAACCTAATTCTTTGGAAAGGATTACAGAAGTTACTCAAAAGAATTTAAAAAACAAATCAACACAAATGAAGTATGCAGATTTAATTTCCCTGAGGTCATATTCCATAAATTATACAAATACTGTCCCTTCCAGCAGAGTGGGGCAGCATCTCCTGAAAAGGGGCCCCAGCAGGCCTGAGGGGGCGTGTCTGTTCCAGGGACACCCACCCACTGCCAACCCAGGACACACCCTCCATGGCAGCAACACACCTGACTATTGACGAGAAGCTGTAAAAAAAATAGTTATCCAAAAACAATCACATGAACAAAATACGCTGTCACCAGTGCAGTGTTTTTCTGCTCCCTACGGTCATTCTTGGTTTTCAGTATCTCCATTATCTGATCAACTGTAGAGCCTCATTAAGTGTACAGGCTTTAACTTTAAAAATAAAGTGCTGATTTAAAAAATAAAAACTAGTCTATATTTCGGAGCTTCTAAGAAGCGTGTCTACTTCTGGGTGAAGAGAAGACCCCTTAGAGAAATTCCCTCGTCACAGGGACCCTGGTCATTCCCGACCCTTCAGGCCCAGCCTCCCATGAGCTGCTCCACGCCTAGGCCGAGGCCATTTTTACTGTGGTTCTGTCCCCTCAAAGGCACTGAGCACTTGCATAAAACTTCAGAAGTACAACAGTTAATAAAAAGTTTCTGTTTTTCTTGTAGAGAGGAGAATCTTCAAATTTCTAATTGATTCTTTATCACAAATATTTGAGTTTAGCCCATATCCAAGTTCTAAATCCACAGAAATATTCTCAGAAATTTACATATAAGCAATAGTTATTAAACAAATAGTGTTAAAATATTATTTACAAATCTGTGTGTGCTGGGTACAAGCAGGACCGATACCGCAGTGGACTGAGGTTGACGGGAATGTGCACTTGGGAATGTGCACTAGTTCGTGTGAGGAAGAGAGGGGGCTCCTGAATGATTTTTCCTAATAACTCATGTCGCCCAAATCGTCAGGAAGTGCCTTCCAGGTGCCCTCTGCGAGCCCGTGCCAGCCCCGCTCTGGCCCCTCCCCCCTTGGGCACGGATCTTGGGATGGCGGATCAGTCTCGCCCAGGAAAGGCACGCCAAGTCATGTCCCTGGACCGACGCAGCTCTTCGTTCACAGGTGTAGTAAGATGAAGAGCTGAGCCGCTCCGGGAAGGCCTGACACGGACACTCCGAGTCTGCAGACAGTGTTATGGGTACAACGCTGGGAGCTGGGCAAAGCTGCTAATAAAAACAGCCCGTCTCCCTCTGGGTTTCACTCCAATCAAAACCAGTAAGTCCCAGAGGGACCGTTGTGCCGCCACAAGAAACGCAAGTGGTGCTCACCAAACTGTGCATGTCTGGGCCCCCTGCCCACAAAATCAGCCTGGGGGTGAAGCTGGTCAGTGCCCGGGCCCAGGGGACAGCACCCGGAACCCCGCTATGGCTCAAGAGTGACCGGCCGGCTTCTTCAGGCTCCAGGATCCGACAGTAGAAGCCCCTCTTCACTTCCAGCTGAAATGGAGCCTGTTCCCCGCTGACCAGCGCTGCATTAGAAAGGAAGCCTGGGTCTCCTCCCTTCTTGCACATGTTCTTATCCCATCACTACTTTCCTCTCCGGCAGCTGCGTTCCTGCCCCATGGACCCTCACTGGCCCGCGGAAGAGCAGACTCCGGTGTGCGGTGACACCGTCCCTCTGGCGAGACTCCGCGTCGGACCATCCCGCAGGGGCCAGCGCGGAGCTGCAGGCTGGCCTGGACGGCCTGCTTGGACATCGTCGTTTCCAAACCTCTCACCTGGCCCTTCCCTCAGTCACACACCTCGGATTCGCTTCTCTGTGTTGTCCAACTCCGTTCTATTCACTTTTTAACCTGTCACTTCCATCGCCACGATAGCGAGGCCTGTTCAGCGACATTATGAAAATAGCCGCCAACGCCAATGCAGCCCCCAGACTGGGGGGGCCACACGGGCTGACCTCCTGGGCAACTCCAGAGAGGAGGGGGGCGATGACCCGGCCCACTGCCGTCACGGACTGCCCCATGCCTATGAGGGTGCCCCTGGCCTGGGCCCCGCCCGCGGTGAGCTGCAGGTCCGTGATGCAGGCCCTGCCGATGGCAGTGGAGAGGGACAGGAGCGTGGAGGAGAAGACCACCACTCCCAGGGTCGGCGCCGCGCCGTGGAGCAGCAGGAGCAGGCAGGTGAGCGTGCTGGTGTGCAGCAGCACCCGGTGGGAGTCGTGCCGGTACGCCCCCATGACGGGCCCCATGACCACGCCAGCCAGGGCCCCCAGGGCGCTGCTGTAGCTGATGAGGTAGCCCGTCACCTTGGGCCTCACCCCAAAGCGCTCCTCCAGGCCCAGGCCGAAGTTGCTGTAGTACAGCATGGCCGCCATGGCCATCAGCAAGCGCACCAGAAAGATGTCCCACATTTCCGAAAGCGCCAGGCTCTGCATGGCCCGCAGTGTGGACATGACTTCCATCCAGGGCGGCCGGCGCGTCTTCTCTCCCACCACGCGCTCAGGGGTGGCGCTTGCCTCCTGCCCGGCACAGTGGGTCTTCCCCAAAGGTGCGTGGTTCTCATCCAATGGCAGGCTGACTTCTACTTCACTCCAAGGAAACAGCCAAACGAGACCTGTTAAAACGGCACACCTGTTAAGTACGCGGAGTCCATGCAGGCACACGGCCTCCCTGGGGGATAAGCAATTACTGGTATTATGTTACTACTCTGTGTGTTTCTATTAGCAGATTTACTTATCCGCATAGTTTTATCCAGTTTTTAACCATTCCCACAGCTACTTCTTCTCCATTTCAGTATCAGAATTCTACAATTCACCTTACGAAAATCTATATCTACATAATATTCACTATTTTTCCCCCAGCTCAAGAACCTATATCCCATCATTTCATATCTAAATTCTTAGGCTTTCCATTTAAATCCTTCTCTTATTGCTTTGCTAATTCTCTGACTCTCCACCATCTGCCTACCATTGATGTATCACCCATTCAAACACGGAATACCTATGCTTTCTAAATGCAGAATCCTGTGCTAGACACTAGAAATAGCACATTAACAAACAAGATAAGGCCTCTACAGTCCCTGTCCTCAAAGAACATCACCCTAAGAGGGGGTGTGGACACACAAGCAGGCAATCCAATTCCAGGGTGAGCGCTCTGTGGGGCGCACAAGGTGCTATGGACAGAGAGTCAGCCTTGCAGGGGTGGCTGGGGGCTCACAGGGCGCTATGGACAGAGAGTCAGCCTTGCAGGGGTGGCTGGGGGAGCACAAGACGCTATGGACAGAGAGTGAGCCTTGCAGGGGTGGCTGGGGGAGCACAGGGCGCTATGGACAGAGAGTGAGCCTTGCAGGGGTGGCTGGGGGAGCACAAGGTGCTATGGACAGAGTCAGCCTTGCAGGGGTGGCTGGGGGAGCACAAGGCGCTATGGACAGAGAGTCAGCCTTGCAGGGGTGGCTGGGGGAGCACAAGGCGCTATGGACAGAGAGTCAGCCTTGCAGGGGTGGCTGGGGGAGCACAGGGCGCTATGGACAGAGAGTCAGCCTTGCAGGGGTGGCTGGGGGAGCACAAGGCGCTATGGACAGAGAGTCAGCCTTGCAGGGGTGGCTGGGGGCGCACACGGCGCTATGGACAGAGAGTCAGCCTTGCAGGGGTGGCTGGGGGAGCACAAGGCGCTATGGATAGAGAGTCAGCCTTGCAGGGGTGGCTGCGGGAGCACAAGGCGCTATGGACAGAGAGTCAGCCTTGCAGGGGTGGCTGGGGGAGCACAAGGTGCTATGGACATAGTCAGCCTTGCAGGGGTGGCTGGGGGAGCACGGGGTGCTATGGACAGAGAGTGAGCCTTGCAGGGGTGGCTGGGGGAGCACAGGGCGCTATGGACAGAGAGTGAGCCTTGCAGGGGTGGCTGGGGGAGCACAAGGTGCTATGGACAGAGAGTGAGCCTTGCAGGGGTGGCTGGGGGAGCACAGGGCGCTATGGACAGAGAGTGAGCCTTGCAGGGGTGGCTGGGGGAGCACAAGGTGCTATGGACAGAGTCAGCCTTGCAGGGGTGGCTGGGGGAGCACAAGGCGCTATGGACAGAGAGTCAGCCTTGCAGGGGTGGCTGGGGGAGCACAAGGCGCTATGGACAGAGAGTCAGCCTTGCAGGGGTGGCTGGGGGAGCACAGGGCGCTATGGACAGAGAGTCAGCCTTGCAGGGGTGGCTGGGGGAGCACAAGGCGCTATGGACAGAGAGTCAGCCTTGCAGGGGTGGCTGGGGGAGCACAAGGCGCTATGGACAGAGAGTCAGCCTTGCAGGGGTGGCTGGGGGAGCACAAGGCGCTATGGATAGAGAGTCAGCCTTGCAGGGGTGGCTGCGGGAGCACAAGGCGCTATGGACAGAGAGTCAGCCTTGCAGGGGTGGCTGGGGGAGCACAAGGTGCTATGGACATAGTCAGCCTTGCAGGGGTGGCTGGGGGAGCACGGGGTGCTATGGACAGAGAGTGAGCCTTGCAGGGGTGGCTGGGGGAGCACAGGGCGCTATGGACAGAGAGTGAGCCTTGCAGGGGTGGCTGGGGGAGCACAAGGTGCTATGGACAGAGAGTGAGCCTTGCAGGGGTGGCTGGGGGAGCACAAGACGCTATGGACAGAGAGTGAGCCTTGCAGGGGTGGCTGGGGGAGCACAGGGCGCTATGGACAGAGAGTGAGCCTTGCAGGGGTGGCTGGGGGAGCACAAGGTGCTATGGACAGAGTCAGCCTTGCAGGGGTGGCTGGGGGAGCACGGGGTGCTATGGACAGAGAGTGAGCCTTGCAGGGGTGGCTGGGGGAGCACAAGACGCTATGGACAGAGAGTGAGCCTTGCAGGGGTGGCTGGGGGAGCACAAGGCGCTATGGACAGAGAGTCAGCCTTGCAGGGGTGGCTGGGGGAGCACAGGGCGCTATGGACAGAGAGTGAGCCTTGCAGGGGTGGCTGGGGGAGCACAAGGTGCTATGGACAGAGAGTCAGCCTTGCAGGGGTGGCTGGGGGAGCACGGGGCGCTATGGACAGAGAGTCAGCCTTGCAGGGGTGGCTGGGGGAGCACAAGGTGCTATGGACATAGTCAGCCTTGCAGGGGTGGCTGGGGGAGCACGGGGTGCTATGGACAGAGAGTCAGCCTTGCAGGGGTGGCTGGGGGCACACGGGGTGCTATGGACAGAGAGTCAGCCTTGCAGGGGTGGCTGGGGGAGCACAGGGCGCTATGGACAGAGAGTCAGCCTTGCAGGGGTGGCTGGGGGAGCATGGGGCGCTATGGACAGAGAGTCAGCCTTGCAGGGGTGGCTGGGGGAGCACAGGGCGCTATGGACAGAGAGTCAGCCTTGCAGGGGTGGCTGGGGGAGCACAAGACGCTATGGACAGAGAGTCAGCCTTGCAGGGGTGGCTGGGGGAGCACAAGGTGCTATGGACAGAGTGAGCCTTGCAGGGGTGGCTGGGGGAGCACAAGGCGCTATGGACAGAGAGTCAGCCTTGCAGGGGTGGCTGGGGGAGCACAGGGCGCTATGGACAGAGAGTCAGCCTTGCAGGGGTGGCAGGGGGAGCCTGCACCAAAGGCCAGTCAGGAAGCACCTGCTTGGATCTGCACTTTTCCCAAGTCTCACGTGGAAACCTGGGGGGCGCCCTTCTCACTGCCCATGGCACAGCGCTCACCCATCCGCTCCACCCCATCCCCATCATCCCGCCTCTGCTGTTTTACTGACCCCATGCCTTCCAAGTACAATGGCCTCTTGCCAATCCCAGCCCCACATTTTCTTTAAACTGAACTCAAGCTCGCCACCCAGGACTTTGAAACTCACCTCTGTGGTTTTCAGTCCTTCAACACAAGTTCTACCTGGAAGCGTGGCTGGCTGGCCGGGCGGCTTCCTACTGTTTCATAACTATGTCTGCTGTGCGGATTCTCCACACACAGCGCAAGTGGACTATTAGTCAGGCGCTAACTTGGACAGAAAATTAATCTTGTGAGAAGCTGACCTGGACTTCTGGCTTGCTCCCACCTACGAAAGGACCCTTGGGCACAGAATCTTGATAAAAAAGTGAAAGAACTGTCTCTGACGGACTGAAAGTACAATTAAAATAACAAAAACGGTAGTGCTGACAGCACTAATTTGTGCCAGTGCACCACAGGCCCCGCAGCGGGCACAGGTCTCGTGGCACGTCCACGCCCTGGGAAGTGCCCTCAGGCGTCTGGGCCCAAGTCTGCCAGACGGAGTCTGAGTCCTTGACCGTGAAAAACAAGTCATTGACGGAAGATGCGAAGGGCCTTCTGCAACGCTGCAGGTCCGAGCAAGGGCGGCGCAAGGGCAGCCGGCTGAGGGTGAGACTGCGGCGTGGGAGGGGCAGCAGCCACACCGAACGGCCCACATGCTGGGCCCTGTCCACTGCCCAGCCCACCGCTGCCCCGGCCCGCTGGCCCCGCCCACCTCAGCTGGCACACACAGGCCCCAAGGGGAGAAGCAAATCCCTGCTACTCTCAGCGACTGGAGTGGGAAACTCAAAGCGAAGTGCCTTCCTGACTGACTCATCCACTCAAGGCTTCGCTGGAGAATCCGAACGAGCGCCGCACACTCGTGCTCTCCGTGGATACACCTGCTACACTGACTTCGCACTTCCGGTGATCGCACGATGTCTGTTCCTTTACATGGGAAGGCGCCCGCCGCATTTCACCCAGACTCACACTCAGCCGGCAGCCCTCTCCTCCTGTAACGCCCAGGTTTCAGGTTAAGCTTCCGGCAGAAAATCACACAGTGTTCCTATCAGAACTGAGATTAAGCCCACGAACTTTGCTTCTCGAGTCTGATATCCCAGCATGGAATTCATCACTCAGCCTGAAGCCTTGAATATGAATATTCAAGAAACTGCAGCAAAGTCGAATGTCATTAAATTTAGAACACTTGGATGGCATGAATCCTCTTGTTATTCCAGCTGTTTCTCTAAGGGTCGGCCATGCACCTGTCTCTGGGCAAAGAGGTTCATCCTCTCTGCTCTAAGCAACAGGCCAGGACCCATGGAGCTCCCGGGCCAAATGCCTTCTGTTATTCACCCAGCACTACTGAACCTCCACTACATGTGCCGCCACATGTTCTGGGCAGGGTGACAGCAGTGAGCAACTCTGTACCCTTGTGGAATTTACTTTCTAATTGTGCGTGTTGGGGTAGGTGAGAAAACACATTAACAAAATCATTTCAGTCCTGGCCAGTTGCTCAGTGGTTAGAGCATCAGCCCGCGGACCAGAGAGTCCCGAGTTCAGTTCCCACTAAGGGCGCTACCTCAGTTGCAGTTTGTCCCCGGCACCGGTTGGGGTCATGTGGGTGACAACCACTCGATGTGTCTCTCTCACGTCGATGTTTTTCTCTCTTCCCCCCTCTTTCCCACCCGCTCTATCTGAAGATAAATGCAAAAATGTCCTCAGGTGAGGATAAAAAATAAAATAAATTAAAATCATTTCAGAAGAGCTATGAAGAAAGAAGCTGTTTAAACAGAATGACCTAAGGCTTCTCTGAGGAAGCAAACACGGGAGACTTGAAGAAGAAGAAAGAGGCAGTAAGGAAATGCGGAGGAACACTGCAGGGGGGAAGAGATGAAATCTCATGCCCAGCGGGAACAGCCCAGCAGGGGGAGGCTGACCAGCAGCGGGCGGGGCACAGGAGGAAGCAGAGGGCCGCCCAGCGCTGTGCAGGCTGAGACAAGGGCCTGCTTCAGCAGGATGGAGCCCGCCGGGAGGTCTGCTGCAGGGGATGACGTGTCTTTCTTTTAATAAGTTTTTTATTCATTTTAGAGAGAGGAGATCGGTTGCCTCCTGCAGGATCCCTGCAGAGATGGAGCCCACAACCCAGGCCTGTGCCCTGACTGGGAATTGAAACTGCAACCTTTCGGTGAATGGGACAACGCCAACCAACTGAGCCACTCTGGCCAGGGCGGGTCTTTCGTTTTGAATGAGTCTGCCTATTCTAAGAAAAACAAATTATGAGGAGACAAAAGTAGGTAGATTGGTCAATGTGAGTGAATAAACCAAGCTTTTCATGATTAAATGGCAACTTACCAGCATTGAGAATGAAGACAGAGAAACAGATGAAACATGCTAGATAAAATCCACCGTCCAGCTCACTGAGATAGCCACCGACCACGGGGCCCACGATGAAGCCCACACTAGACGCCATGTTTAACTGTCCGATGGCTACGGGCCGCTCCTTCTCGGGAACCAGGTCAGACAGCAGAGCCCTTGAGAGGGAGAGTGTATGCTTAAAAATACCTGCAAGGAGACAAGAAACCTGTTCTGTAACATTTCCCACCACGAAGGCATCTCGCTTGTGATCCAGCACTTGACCTCTACCCTGATAAAGTTCTGATCCATTTCCTTTGACCCTCTAAGGCCACAGGTCCCATGCCACTGTGACGGACTCCTGGTCTAGCCCACCACCCTGGCTGGCCACCAAGCTCCTGAATCCTCAGCTTGCCCACCTGCCATCATGACATCCCAGTGTCTCCAGTCCTCTCTGCTAGCCAAGTACATATAGAATGTATCCTTCATTATTCACCAAGTCAGGGAATGAACATTTTCTGCATGCCTGCTCTATGTCCAGCACAAACCTGGACCCCGAGGGTAATGCACGGAACAGGGGAAAAGGCAGACGCCTGTCCTCCAGAGCCTGCACATCGACATGGAATGCACTGTGCAGAGGTGGCAGAGCAGGGAGGACAGAGAGAGGCAGGAACACGACAGTTACATCTAACCAACACCATTGACTTTCTACTAGCAAGAGGCTTGTGAAATTGTTGACTAAACAAACTGAAAGCTGTGATATGACTGAATAAGAGAAAGTGTATGTAACAACTTTATATGCCTCACACCTCTGCTGATGTATCTGACTTGTACGCATCCACATACTGAACAAACACACTCACAAACAAACTGGAGAGTTCTGGTGACACACATGCCCACTACTTTGATCACGACCGGTAGGTCCCACTAGCAAATAATGCTGGCAGGTCTTCCTGGAGGCTCCCAACCATGACGGGACACCGTAGGTTCCAGCGGCCCCTTGAAGGAGGCCTTCTCTGCACATCACTACTCAAACCAGGTCAGTGACACCGACAGTGTTACCTCCACACAAACCTGTCCTCATTTTGTGACAAATACAGATGCCATTTCTGTCTCATCAGTTTCTTCTGAATTCTGACCAGCCTTACCACCGCGTGGTGGGATGTGTTGTACTGTAGAAGGACACACTGCCACCCAAACCAAGAACGACAAAGACCCTGGACCCGGTGCACGGGAAACAGCTGTCGGTGGGTTTGTGCGTGCGGGGGCCCGTTAGGGTGACTGGTCAAGTCTGAGGCGATGGCATTTGTAAACCACTTTCCTATGTGAGCAGTGACAAGCCACATGGACACTGGAGGGCGGAGGCAGAAGGCGTGCCCATCGGGGCGGCAGAGTCTCAGTGCGGCATGAGGAAGGGGAGCAGGAACAGACACTGAGGCTCTCGCCACCAGACAGGCAGAGGGAATCAGGAGCGTCCACAGTAACTACCAACCCACCTCCGCACCCAGCCCTCACAGGCAGCATTTAAAGGATGGAACACAGTTTAACTAATGAACAAAATAAAAGCTATTTCAAAAATGGGAGAAATATTCAAGAGCAGTCTGGAGACTAGCCCCAGCCACCACATCGTGACCAGAGCGCCCACAGGCAGCGGCCACTGTCCAGACGGCTGCAGGGAAGCTACCGTGGCTGTGGTCAATCTGCAGTGAGGGAGCCAGTGTCAAAGCGCCGAGCCTGCTGAAGGACCGAAGAATGACCAGTGCTGGTGGGAGACATCTAGCCAACTCTCCTGACAGGACATGCAGACACAGACTGGAAGGAGGCGGGTTGCAGAGCTGTGTACACCCACGGACGCTGCAGGCCGTGGGCTCCGCCACGGGCAAGGTAGGGAGCTCTGGGCAAGTCGGCAGAGCCGCCGGGTGCTGGTGTTCCTGTTCCCATTGGTATCGTCATGCCCTCTTCCAATCAGAGAGGCAGTGACCAGCTATACACATACATGTACTGCACATATATGCTATTCACATACAGTGACCTACTCAGGGGGAAGACACACGGGGCAGGAGCTCACCCACAAGGACTCTGGCGAGGACGAACAGGAACACGTTGGTGGACGCTCCGAGAACCAGGTAGCCCAGGGCGCTGCAGAGGATGCACACCAGCAAGGACAGCCGCCTCCCGGCCACGTCGCTCCAGCAGCCCTGGGAGGGAAACACGGCAGGCCTGGCACCTGAGCACCACCACCTCGGAAATGCCCGGCTCAGGCTAAGATCCTCAGGGGCTCAATGCTACTACGCCACTCCTCAGAGTATTTTCCCTGGTCCCCACAAGTTGAAAGGGAAATACAACATATTTAATGTTTTTTAAAGTATTTTTTTAATCCTCACCCAAGGATATGTTTAAATGATTCTTTAGAGAGGGAGGAAGATAGAGGGAGAGAGAGAAACATCGGCTGGCTGTCTCCTGTATGTGCCCTGACAGGGGGTTGAACCCTCAACCTAGGTATGTGCTATGTGCCCTGACCAGAGCCAAACCCCTGACACTTCAGTGCACAAGACGATGCTCCACCCACTGAGCCACCTGGCCAGGGCCAACCTAGTACTCTTTATCCAGGCAAAGCCTGAGAGCCGAGCAAGCGTCTGCAGCTAGGAATGGCTAGAGAGATGGTGAAACCTACTTCTTAGAGCCACATTCTCATCTCCATTATCACTTTATGCATGTCAGCTCCTCAGCAACCATATTCAATTCAGAAACTTAGGAAATACTGAAAACACAACAGATATAAAATATTTCACAACTTCCAAGTCTGCAAATGACATTTCTAACAAAATGTAGCATACTGTATTTTGTAACTTGCTTTTCCACTTAACAATAGATCGTGAATATCATTGCACGTCATTAGAAACTCGCCTTTTTTTTTTTTGGCTTAAGAGTATCTATTCTCTACCATCATGACAACCATGACTTTGGTATTAATTTTGTCAATCCAATAGATTAAAATGACTTATTACTGCTGCAATGTGAATTCCTTTCATACTACTGAAATGCAACATTTCCCAAATATTTTTTCTTCCAGTTTTATCAATACAACTGACACACAGCATTGTATGTTTAAGGTGTAGAGCATGACTTGACTTACATATACTGCAAAATTATTACCACAATAAATGTAACAGCCATCATCTCATATAGACATAAATAAAAAGAAATAAAGTGTTTTTCCTGGTGATGAGAACTTGTAAATTTCCCCTTGACTTTCACATACACCCGTCAGCAGCGCGAGCCAGTCACCGTGCTGTCCACCCTGCTGTCCACACTGCCTTACCCCCGGTCTGGACCCTCTGAACACATTCACCCAACTGCTCACCTGCCTCTGATAACCACAAATTTCATCTCTTTTTCTTAAAAACTCATTAAAAAATGACTGTGTTTAGATTCAACATGTAAGTGGTCATACAGTATTTGTCTTCCTCTGTCTTATTTCACTCAGCAGACAAAATTTCCTTAGGTCCATCCATGTTGTCACAAATGGCAGGATTCCCTTCTTTTTATGATTGAAGAATATTCCACTGTGTATGCAGGTACCATGTTTTCCTTATCCATTTATCGCTTGATGGACACAAGCTGTTCCATGATTGGTTACTGTAAACAGCACCGCAGTGAACATGGGCACAGCAACCTCTTCAACGGTGCTGTGACATCCTTTGGTGTATAATCAGGATCACAAGCTTGTTCTAGTTTTAGTTTTTTGAGCAACATCCATACCGTCCCCCACACCGCCCCCACAGTGGCTGCCCAGTCTGCGTTCCCAACAGCGCACAAGGTTCTCTCTGCTCCACCTCTTCGCCATCGTTCATCTCATTTGGTGACAGCCATTCTAACAAGTGTGAGGAGGTCTCTCTGAGGTTTTGATTTCCACTCCCCTGGTGACTAGTGATGCTGAGCACCTCTGTTCATTCAGGTCCTTTGCCAAGTTTTAATTGGACTATTTCTTTTTCTGCTATTCAGTTGTTCGAGTTCTATATATCCTTATTAGATATATGGTTTGCAAATATATATATATTTTCCATTCCAGAGTGTCCTTTTCATTCCTGAGTGTTTCTTTGGCTTCATAGAGGCCTCTGAAGTTTGATGTAGTCCCATTTTTTTAAAAAAAATTTGTTGTATGTACTTTAAATATCATATCCAAACAATCCTTGCCTTTCTCTGTTTCCCCCTCGGAGCTCTGTGGCTGCAGACCTTACCTTACGTCTGCTGGTTGTGACGCCCACTGGGGAGCCTCCGAGTCCTGCCAGCATGGGCTTCCTCCGAGCCACTCCTGTTGCAAGGAAGGAGTTGTGGTGGCACCACAGAGGAGATAGATCCAGGGTGAAGGGGCCCCAGGTGAAGCTTGTCCAGGGGGAGACCAGCTGAACCCCGCCAGTGCCTCTGTCTGCGGAGGAGAGGGCCCACAGGGAGCAGAAGCTGAGGCTCGCAGGGAAAACGGAAGCAGAAGGACGGACGGAGGCGGCGGAGTGCTGTGTGGAGTCTGCGGCAGCAGGGGGAGGACCACAGAGAGCTCAGGGGTAGAGCGCCACCTTCCTAGCTCTTTACTTGTGTGTTTTCAGTGCTCCACAGTCAACAGCTTAGTCCAAACAAACCTCCCTTGCACACTGAAGTTCTGGCCTTCAAAGATGCAACCAGACGTCACTGGTGAGGCTTCCGAGAAAGTTCTTTAGAGGTGAGGAGGGGCTTCCTCTTGCCCTTTCCTGCTGAGAGCATCCCCAGGATGCCAGAGGCTGAGCATGTCCTTAGCTGTCCAGCTAAGGACTATGGACAGCTGAGCAGGACGACCCGGGATGCTGACTCTTGGACAGCCTTGGCGGTCAGCTGCACATTTTTCTCTTTACACTTTGGAAGTTCTGCACAGATGGACACAAGCCTGACCGAGAGACCCTGCCCAACTACAGCACCTCCACACTGAGCCGTTTTATATTTCTGGGTGAGGGTTTGTCTGAAAGAAGTGTCAATGGACAAACCACTAGCACTGCCACAGCGCCGTCTGGGGAAGGTCAGGCGCAGGGGCTCCAGTGCTGCGTCCCTGGACCCGGCTCAAGGTGGTCCACGGGCACGCTGCTCCTTCACTCCCCGGGGCTGCCCGCTGACTTGCCCCACCCTCTCCAGTTAACCGAGACACCTGAGCCTGCCTGGCCACCTTGTCCAAGGCTGAGCGCCTCTGTTCATGCCCTTTCCTCATTGTTAAAGATGTGTTTATGTTCTTCTTAAATATGCAAAAGATCTCTTTACATAGGATATAAATGGTTATAAAATTCCTTTATAAAAAATTTGAGGCAGATCTTCCAAAATACTGTCAGCATTATATAAACAGGATCCATCCCTGTCCCTAGCTTTCATTTCAGTGCATTTTAGAAATTCTCCACTCTTCCCACCCTGCTCAGAGCTCACTGGCACCTGTGTTCACAGGGCAGGGATGCCATCTGGCAGGTACACCCGGCCCCTGGGCGGGGCTGTCTGGAGTCAGCCCTGACGTCAGCAGTCCACAGGCCACCTGGTTACCAGTTACACATGGAGACACACCTCTAGGCCTGTCTCTCTGTAAACAGGAATGATAACAGTATCTGCCTCGGAGGGTCTTTTCCCCAACGCTTGCTCTGTGCTGTACATAAAATCAGTCACTAAAGACACCTGATCACCAGAGCTGGGGCCGAGAGTAGTTATCACCGGGTGCTTTTGTAAATACTGAATAAAATATGGTGCTCAGAGCAGGGTCTGACACACAGTAAGTACTTAATAAACACTAGTCATTTTTATTAAAGTAGGTAGGTTAAAATTATTAGTCAAATCTGACACAGCATACCTTTTCTTTAAAAAGGTTTGTTTTTAAAATTAAAATGTTTTTATAACACTTATCATTATAGTATTTACAAAAGCACCAGTTGAAGAAACATTCGTATTTGGTACTTCGTGTGAAGGACCTCTGAGCTCTGAGCGCTTCTCCTTATGGATTCCCGCTACCGGGCGCACAGAGGATCAAGCTAAGGGTTGCTGGGAAGAGGGCGGCCTGGCCACGCCCTGCTCCAGGGCTCACAGGTGATCCTGGGGACACCTGCCGGCCCCCCTCCCAGGAGCGAGCAGTCCCGGAAGCCCCGACTCAGCAGTCCAACATGAACGCGCGATGCAAGCACTGGCCGTACTGGTCGTGAGTGTCCAGACGACAGAGAGCAGCTGCGGACTGAGCATGTCCCCCTTTCACAGGGAGGAATGGGAACCAGGACACCGGCAGCGCCCCGCTCCCGGACAACCAGATGCTCGTTAAGGCAATGACTTTGAGGAAAACAATGGCCCAGGCTTAGGGTCTGATTGCTGAGATGAGGTGATGTCATCAAACCATGTCAATTTTGGGAGTCTGAATTTCTTCCTGTATAATAAAAGCAGACAACTACTCTGCTGGGTCATTGTAAAGGTTAAATGAGAATAAAATCATTATTGTTATACAAATTTAATCTATGAAAGACTTACAAATAAGATAAGTCAGGAAGTAGCTATTTCCTTACCTAAGAATTCATTACAAAATCTGACCGAATTTCTTTTCTTTTTTAAAACATATTTTACGTGCAAGCCAGTCTGGGAAGTATATTACTATACACTGTGCTCACTAACCAAGGCCATAGCCCATCAATTCGTGGGACTCAAATGACTGTCCGTGCGACCTGCCTGGCCCTCTGGACGCCGAGGTCTCAGACCAGGGTGGCGAGTGGGGTTCGAGGAGGAGCGAGAAGGGGCCGATCAGGTAAGTTCTGAATGTCCAACAGCTGCATGGGCAGCAGGGGAGCGACCGGCCACCCGCTGCAGGCGTACCGCCAGCGCCTCCCAGCGGCCCTCCTGTCTGTACCCTAAGTCTTACAGTTAACAAGCCATGTGGTTCAAAGCACCGCTTCAGGCAGAATCCTAGAAGCACACAAGGATTTAATTACTGCCAATTAAATGAAACTAACGATAAATCTGGTGATAACCATTCTTTTTCCGAGTCAGCAGGGAATCATGGGGAAAACATGGTGCATTTTGAAAGGCGGGCTCCCCTTCTGACTCGGTGTGTTCTTTTCACAGAGGCCACCGACCCTTCCAGCCAGCGGCTCTCGGGGGCCAGCGAGGAGGGGAGGCGACCGAAGGAGCCCTGCTGCGGACGGCACGGGCACCCTCCTCTGCCCGTCTCGCCTGGCAGCCCTCCAGCCCCGACCGGACCTCACCGCCCCGTGCAGGGCGGCGCATGCGCGGACAACTGCCCACGGGCGACTTACCACCAGTGTGCTAGAGAAGAGCTGCAGGACGCCGTAGGAGGAGCCTGCAAAACACCAACAGGTCAGTGCGTCGGCCAGCCCGCCACCGAGCTGGGTTAGTGGGGTCACAACTACACAGAAATGAACAGAGAAACATTAGGAAAAACGATCATTTTGTAAAGAGAAATTACCCCACAGTTGTTTTCAATTGAAAGAGTATAATATAATAATTAATACAAGGTCTTCAAAATAAAATGAAGGTGAGCAGAAGGAAGCCTAAAGGCCAGGCTGGCCCTCCCACTCTGTGAGGGCTCTCGCTCCTGTGAAGGTGCAGTGGGCACGTGGGGGAGAAGTCACTGAAGTCTAGGAAAATTCTACTAAGTCTCAAAATGTTAACATTACCACATATGTCTCTAACATTTCAGTTTCCTCAAATGCTGTAATTTTATAAAGAACTTACACAGTTTTATAGGGTGCTTTGACCTTCATTGTATCATATAACGTCTCTTCCGCTCTTCAAAAAAGCCTGTATGTGCCAGGTGGTCCGGTATAACTCTAAGTGCACTTTTTGAGAGAAATACAAATCTGGCACAGACCAGGACTTACTGAATATCACGTACAAAACTGTCCTAGAACGTCTGCTTACCCAGCTTGTGAATGATCAAGGACTGTAAGTCTTAATTTTTCATTAATTAGCACAATCCGAAGCCCTGCTAGTTCCTGCCCCTTTGGTCATTCAGTGGCTCCCGGACAGATTTTCTGCTGCGCAGGTAGGAACACTTCACAGCTCTGAGACGTGGTGCTGGTGCAGAGAGCTGACAGCCAACTTGTGCAGGCTTACCCCAAATATCCTTCTCCTGCATGTCACAACACTTCTCAGAACGCAGGTAGCCCAGGAAAAGATAAATTAAATATCCTGAGAATTCATTTCATAGCCTTTTAAATTTACCTTTAGATAGTACTTAGCTATAAGACTGACCTGTTTCCAGTTCCTCACTCAGTTCAGGGGGTGTAGAATTCAGTGCCCTGAAAATGTGCAGCACAACCACTCACCTACAACTCCAGCAACGGTCGGACTTGCTCCAAGAGACCTGATGTGAAGGCTCAGTAAAGGGACAACCATGCTGACACCAAACAAATCCTGAACAACGACACCGATGACCTCGAGTTAGAAACAAGTCTAGGTGTTTTCAAGTGGTCCTAATTATAAACTGATTTTCCAAATAAAACCACCACCTAAAACTTTGAGCAAATAAGAAATGATAATTGAACTCTATGTTATGCTATACTCATCAGGTTCAAGTTATCAAGGATCCAAATACAATGTTAAAGCAGTTGCTACCTATGAGTGTGCTGGCCATGCTGACCTAGAACCCTTCTTAACTTCAGCTTCTTTATAATTGATCTTTAACATTCAGAAGGAAGTGCTACGAGTTCCGCAAATAAAAAAACAAGATAATTTTTGTGGGGAATGCAGTGGGAAAGGAAGTAGGGATGATGTGTATTTCTTGACAAAGCAGCACCTACTTAATAATATGAATTTTCTCCGACATTTAGGGAAAGTAACTGATCAGTGGTTTAGAGCCTTACAAGGTAATCCCTGAAAAGAAAGTCTCCATAAAGCAGGGAGGCTGGGGTATTAACACAAGGCCCCCGTCTGCAGGTAAGTCACAAAAAGTGCATGCGCCAGGGGATCAGAAAGCCGGATCTCCATTCCAGCTCCACCATCTACAAACTGCCGTGTGTCCTTGGACAGTGACTAATGCTACCAAGCATGGTGCTACCATCTGTAAACAGGCCTCCTAGAAACACGGTGTGCAGTAAGAGACAGCAGTAGAGAAAAGTCTGACAGACAGGAGAAGCTCAAACGTATTTTCTCTTCAGTTCTGAGAATAAGTACTGATTCTTTTTTATTTTTTAACAGATTGGTCATTTTTCCTTTAAGTGTTGTTCTCTTCCTACTTTACTTGGTTACTTGCTTCAACTGGTTTAGGAGAAGAAAAACACATAGCACACAAAGTTTTGATTTGTTGTTGTTGTCTTTAATAATCAACATGAATTTATTTTCTTGTAATCCTGGTTAAACAGAAATACTTGAAACAAATTTTTTTCAGTCAACAAGTAATCTTTTGATCCCTGCTTCTCTTGGTAGCTGGACATTCACCTAATTATAGAAACATAAACTTCCCATTGCACTTTTCAATGTCTTTTGCCCATGGTCAAATTTTTAGATGGCTATTTAATATCCAGTGATCTTAAATAGCTCATATATTTATACTACGAGAACTGAGGCTTACTATTCTGATCTAAGGTTACAGCAGTCCTCCCTTATCCACAGGGGACACATTCCAAGAACCTAGTGGGTGACTGAAACCTGGGTACCAAAACCTGTATTTATGTTTTTTCCTATACATAAAGGTTATCTTATAAATTACGCACAGTAAGAGATTAACTACAATAACTAAGAAAGTAACTACTAAAACAGAACAACTGTAACATATATACTGTAGTCACAGTTATGAGAATGTCTCCCCTCTAAACACCTGCCTGCACTCTACTCACCCTTCTTGTGCTGATGGGAGCTGACACAAAGCCTGTGGGACCAGATGGCACGAGGTGAATGGTGCAGGCATGTGACACAGCGTTAGGCTACTAGGACAGTGACTAGAACACAAGCACTGTGTCAGGCTGATAACTAAGAAGGCTACCCAGTGACAATCGGGAAGGTACTGTGGACAACGTGGATACACAGGACAACGGGATGATTCGTGTCTAGGCCTGAACGAAGAGGGACAGTGTGTGATTTCAAGTGGTGCAATTTAAAATTTATGAATTGGCCCGGCCGGTGTGGCTCAATGGTTGAGCGTCGACTCACCCACCAAGAGGTCACCGGTTTGGCACATGCGTAGGTTGTGGGCCAAATCCCCAGTAGGGGGCATGTAGGAGGTGGCCAGTCTATGTTCTCTCTCATCAATATTTCTATCTCTCTCTCCCTCTCCCTTCCTTTCTCTCAAAAATCAATAAAGAAAAAATAATTTAAAAATAAAATTTATGAATTGTTTACTTCTGGATTTTTCCATTTAATGTAGTTGGACCAAGGTTGACTAGATAACTGAAATCATGGAAAGCAAAACTGCAGGCAAGGGGGAACTACTGAACTTAAAATTTCTTTTGAGTCTCAGCCAACTTTTGTGGTGGGGGCTATTCAGCTTTGTCCCATCCACCTACCGATGTTTTATATCATTTAAAAGACTCAAAATACATATGTTATCTATTGAATTTTCTGTATCTTTAATACAAGGAAACTGAACTATCCAGCAAGATATCTTTTTTCCAAAAAAATTCCCAGTACTGCTTGTCGTTTAATATTGGAATGGTTATTCTAAATAAGGGCTGGGACAGAAATGTTTCCATAGACAGGCCAAGAGCGCAGGAAGATAAATATAAAAACACAAGACTCATAACAGATGATCAGTATTACTTCAGTACTTTGTGAGTCTGAAAAATATTATCTTTCTCAAAGAAGGCTTGCTGCTCTTTCCTCTGAAGAAGTTCTCTTCCAAAATTGTCTCTTAATTTAATATAAAAGGCAACTTCAAATTTGGCACCTGGAAATCAGGAGAGAAGGGGCCACTTAACCCCCTTGCAGAACATCTACATCCCTCAGTGCAAACTGATGAATACATTGAAGAGTTTCGGGATCTTCTATTTTATTTTGTTTTTAAATTGTTTTTTCCTTTATTGATTTTAGAGAGAGAGAGAGAGAAAGAGAGAAGGAGAGAGAGAGATATAAACATCGACTGGTCGCCTCCTCCATGTCCCCACTGGGGATTGGGCCCACAACCTGGGCATGTGCCCTGACCAGGAATTGAAATGATGACCTTCTGGTGCATGGGTCGATGCTCAACCACTGAGTCACAATGGCCAGGTGAGTTTTGGGATCTTTTAAAAATGAATTCTCACCTGACTAAAGTGACAAAATGAAATACTAATCTCACCAGGTCCCTGGAAGAAAGAAGATACTGAAATCTTAGGTCTTAGTAGCTTCTTAATTTGCTGACCAAAAAGGGCCTCATCTTGGACTTTCTTCCTAAACCAATTAAAACCTAGAAGCACAGATAGCTAAAAAACAGAACATTTCGGCAACTGAATTCTTTAACCCTGTTCCTTTCCTCTCCCAGTTGGAAACCATTTCCCCAAAAGTTTAGGGGTCTTTATGTCTCTATGTTAAAAATCATAACAAAGTTATATGTAATATTCCTTAGCTGTTGCCTAACAGAGCCATTAGATGCTTCAAGAATACCCAAAGCTGCATATATTTTGTTAACATTTGCCATTAAAAAAAGAGAAAGTTGCCCTGGCCGGTTTGGCTCAGCGGTTGGAGCATTGGCCTGCGGTCCGGAGAGACCCGGGTTCGGTTCCCGCTAAGGGCACGTACCTCGGTTGCAGTTTGTCCCCGGCCCTCGTTGGGTCACGCGGGTGGCAACTACTCCATGTGTCCCTTTCACGTCGATGTTTCTCTCTCTCCCTCTCTCTCTCTCCCTCCTACTATATCTGAACAAAAAATGGAAAAATATCCCCGGGTGATGATAAATAAATAAAACAAAATTAATAAAAGAGAAAGTCCCTATTCCCTTTAAACTTTGGGGCAATCTTACATTTTCCCCTTAAGATATCAGAGACCTGATGACTGTCTTGAATAAATTATTAAATGTTGTGGCAGGTTCGCCAGATTAGACTGGCCATGTGCACAGCACATGGACAACACAAGGAGCACTGAATATCAAGTCTGTATCAGCAGCCAATCACCATGAGTAATCTGCAAACACACTGTAAATAACTCAAGCTTTCTGAATTCTAGGTCATACTGGTTTCCAAAATTCTCTGAACTCCAGTGTGGACTTTCTTGGTGAGGGTCCAAATCTTCTTCATCTGACAGAACCAGATGGGAATGCCATCTGAGGTCCCAATATTCTACCAGAAGGTGAATGGCAGCCAACCCCCTTCCCAAATTTGAAGAACCACTCACACTCAACAGTTTTAAATTTGGGGTGACTGGACAGGAAGGCAGAAGACAAATCTGCACCCTGAGACTCAACTAAGATTTAAAGAAACTGGATCAGAAGAAGTGTCAGGCTCTGAACACAAAGGCAGTATGTCTGGGGGTGGCTGCAATGTTCATGGGAGATTGAGCTCCCCCTGGAAAAGCTGGCCTCCCTGACTGCCCATGGTTCTGTGTTTACAGTAACATGGTAAATATGCTTTCCCTGTTGTTGTAACAACTATTAACTCAACATTAAACCTTTCGGGACTGTTGAACACTGCACTGTGACAGGGAGGAAGACTGCCTCCTTGCTCCTCTCCTAGCTGTGTGACTCAGGGTCCTCACTCAAGCGAGGCACCCTGTTGTTGTCCAGACAGTGTCAGGCCCAGAAAGAGAAAATCCTACTGGGTCTCTGTCCCAATTATGTCGCAACCTGGATTAGCTCACAACCAGGGCAACTGAACCAGGCCTAGACTTGGAAACAGGAGTGAAAAGGTGGGCCTAGGGTTCCTGCAGATGCTGGTCCACAAACTACCAACACACGCTTCCTAGTAAGGTTGTAAATTCTTCCAGGCACAGGCTAGCACAGTGACAGGAGTGCACAGCACCACCACACACAGGTTTCCAGAAATCCCATGAAAAATGAACGAGTGTATGGCAACCAAGACACCCACACAAACTAAGACAAAACCCCATGTCCCACAATATGTAAACAGTTTGTCAGCAGGGAGAAGTGTATAACTCACCATGACATGCATTTTAAACATTTCAGGAACCCTAATGAAAATGTCCCTAGCCCTGGCAGCTGCAGTTTGTCCCCGGTCCTGGTTGGGTCGTGCTGGTGGCAACCACTCACTTGATGTGTTCCTTTCACGTTGATGTTTCTCTCTCTCCCCCTCCCCACTCTATCTGAACAAAAAATGGAAAAATGTCCTCGGGTGAGGATTAAAAAAAAAACAAAAGAAAATGTCCCTAAAATCTGCCCATGTGGGGTCATCAACAGCAACTTCCCAGACCTGGCCTGGTAAAAGACTGCCATAAGGCAGCCAGGAACTCCTGCTGTCCACCCTGCATGCCTTGCACCTGCCACATCAACTAACACCTGGGTTCAACTTCTGGCGAGGCTGGGTCCAGGAGCCACTCCTGAGGCGGGGGGGGGCGCGGGGCAAGTGAAAGCTCCACAGGCCATGAAGCCAAGTAGGGAACGAAGTGGGTTACGGGGCAAAGGGAGGCTTAACTGGTAGGGAGGTACCAGCAGGTGCCTGGCAGGTTCCCGCAGGGTGGGAACGGGAACCGTAGGCCAGGTAGGGCTGGGCACCAGGTGCGTGCCTAACAACAGGCACTTAAGTACCAAAGGCTGCGACCTGCCCCCAGGTGACTTTTCTCCTCCAGCAAATCGCTGATCCAGCGGTTTAGACTCCCTGACTTTTCAAGTCGCTGGGCTAGCGGTTCAGACCCCTCCCCTGACTTGTCCTCTCCCTGGCAGGTCCCTAGTCACTCAAAACATTTTACTTTTGCTTGTATTTGAGCCCTGGTTCCGAATGCTTTCGCACCGCACCTGCGAGACGGAGGGTAGCAGCGGGCGCCCCTCGGGACGGCGCGCGCACCCGCGCCGGGCCCCCGGCGGCACTCACCAGGAAGCCCACCAGGTAGAGGCAGAGCAGGGGGAGGCGGGCTCGCGCGGCCCCGGGGCCCCCAGCCCCCGCCTCGGGCGCCGGCCGCGGCTCGCGCCTCTCAGCGTGGGCGTCGCGGACGCCAGCCCGGGGGCGCGCCCAGGCCGCGCCGGCGCCCGGCTCCATGCCGGCAGGAAGCGGGGCGAGCGCCGCAGGAGCCTCCGCGAGCCGCCCGCCCCGCGCCCGCGGACGAGGCGTGCGCCTGCGCAGTGGGGGGCGCGGCGGGAGGCGGGAGGCGGGAGGCGGGAGGCGCGGGGAGGGGGAGGGGCGCGGGCGCGGCGCGCGCGGCCGAGGCCGGAAGTGGACACCGGCTCCCGAGAGCCGCGGGCGGTGCAGGCGCCCGGCGTCTGTGATGGTGTCGCTGACGCCGTTTTCTCGCAGTGGGGACCCGTGTGATGAGCGGCACCTCAGAGTGTGGGGCTGTGGGCGAAAGAGCGTCCGAACTTGTAGGAGTTTTCTAAGCGCTTATTGGAGCCCGATTTTGAGGCTATACCTGGAAGCTGAAATCAGTGGACTGAGTAAACGCTCTGCAGAATGGCCGTTTGCAGGTTATTGTGTACATCAGAATCCAAGGCGAAGGTGTAAGGAGCATGAAAACCGTGGGGCAGGTCGAGAAGGGGGAGAGGGGATAGCAGGCGGGGGCGGGGACCCTAGGACCGGACACAAAGCAAAGTGGAGAGGTCCATGCTTCTTTTACACTGGTGGGCACAGGGTGGATAATAGCCAACAGTATTAGCAACAGTTCACAGCCAGAGACCAGGAGATGGTGGGCGGGCCTGGATAACAGTGGGGATTCCCGGTCTGTCTGCTGCCTGTGGTTGTGCCTGGGGGTCTGGGGAAGAAAACCGCCGGATTCCTAAGGAGCTCCATCCTGTGTGCCGGAGAACAGTGCGCAGGGCTCAGTTACGCAGAGATTGACCTTTGCTAAGGAAGCCATGGGACCACCCACTGCGACCCGTACAGCTGGGAATGCATGACCAGATCATCCTGTGCGGTTACTTTTGGTCACCAAGGTGGTCAGGTGTGCGTGTGGCCCTGATAGCTGTCAGGTTTATTACAGGGCCGGCCTAGGTGGTGACCAGCTTCAGCTGGAGGACGCCTAGGCCTAGGCACCAGTTGGCTGTGAGTGACCTGGAGTAAGTTAACTTAGCCCCTCTTAGCTTCAGTTTGCCTATTTGAAAAACAGGAGAAGATGATGTAGAACAAGTTGTGACAATTCTGCGAATACTTACTGAACACTTCCCTGGTGCTGTACAAATGGGAACAAGACAGACATGGTCTTTGCCTGAGATGAGGGTATCATTTCCCGGAGTGATGATAATACCTGCACATACATAAACATGATAAGTAAAAATAATAAATATCCAATAAGTAAAAGAATAAATATAATAAATAAAATTATATTGTGACAAATGCGCAAAAGCACAATCTCACTGTGGAGACTGGTAAGGTGAACTATTTTAGAACGGCCACTTGGCAGAGATGACCTGTAAACTGAGAAGAGTTGAATGAGATATATGTGGCTGAAAATTCTGAGCAAGCTCAGAGATCAGAGAGGTAGGCATGGGTGCAGATCATTCAGGACCTAAAGGCCATGGAAGAGCTCTGGGGTTTTATTCTGAGAGAAGTGAAAGAAATTAACTGAAGCATGACACCAAATTGTGTGCTAAATTACTTAACATGGCACCTGACACAGTAAGCACTTCATAAATATTAACTATGTTTGGTAGCCCCTCTTTTATTTAGAAATTTATTTTATTACTCCTCTCTTGTTGTGGTATCAAGAAGTGTCTGTTTTTAGTGAGGTTTTGATGGAAATCTTAATTTAGTGTGCAGTTGTCTAAATTACATATGTTGAATTCAATCTTGGAGAGTCTCATGAACGTTAGGGTGCTGTTCAGAAAGAATGAGATCATGAATTTAAAATGAAGGTGTATGGTCGGATTCAGACGAGACTGATAATCTTCAGTCCCAGTCACCCTTGGCTTCCTTCGCCAGTAGAAGTAGTTTGTCCTGCATCTGAGAAAACTAATCTCCTTGTGCTTGAAAAGTTTGTGATTACCCACCTAGGGTAGATGCCTTGAAGGGGGATGGCACATGTTCCCCATGACCTATCAAAACCACCTAATTGTGGATACTAGATAAATAGCTAGGAGAAAACCTCAGTATGCTCCCGGGAGCAGGTAAACACTGTGTGACCTTGGAGGAAATTGCTTATGCATCCAAATCATTGAAAGACTGCTAATATATTATCAGTAGAACCCTTGGAGATTTCTTGGCATCTTGGGAAGTTCCTTACAACCAGTTGACTGAAGAAAAAAATACTTGAGACCGGTGTACAAATATAGATCTGCATGATGTTCCGGGTATCACCGCAAAGTGGCCCGCTGAAGCACTGCAGTGCAGCATAGGGTGACTGAAGGATAGTGGTGGAGGAAAATCTTATGTTGATTAGAACTCCAAATAGCATTTTGGTTGTTCACTTTGTCTGGAGTGAGAGATGGCCAAAGATAAACTACATTATTCATGGCCAGTATCTAACAGGCGAGATGTAACTGATATGAAAGATTAATGACAAAGAAGTCTGGAGAAGAGATAGGTGGATGGATATCTCAAGGGACACAGGATGTAGAACATACATTTGTCCCATGTGAATGTTTGCCAGTGGGTATCTACTGCAGAGGAGGCACTTAATAATTGTGTGGACAAAATGATGTACTCTTTGAACATCCGCACCCACACCAGGGTTTCTTTAGTGGGCTCATAAACAAAATAGCTGTGGTGGCAGAGATGCAGACTATACATAGACTCAACAGCATGGACTTACTTTTATCAAGGATACAGCTTAATTTATAATCTACCAACAGCAGAGACTAACATTTAATTCCTGCTATGCCATCATTCTCTGGGCAAGCAACCTAATGGAAGGTTGACTGTATTGGACCTCTATTATTATGGAAGGGTCAGATATTCATCCTTAGTAGAATAAACAAATATCCTGCAGATATATTTGCCTTCTTTGTTCCTAATACTCCTGACAACAACATTCATAGACGCACAAAACATTTACCTACCACTATGGCATTTTAACATAGCATTGCTCCTAATCAGTGTACTCCTTTCATTGCAAGGAAAATAAAGCAATAGGATCATCCTTATAGAATTAACTGATCTTATCACATTGCATTATTCAGAAGAGGCTGGCCTGATTAAATGGAGGAATGACTTACTGCAGGCTCAGTTACAGTGCTGGATGGGAGAGAACACCCTAAAAGAATGGAGTTCTGTCTTAAAACATATGGTATATTCTTTGAATTAGAGACCATTATATGGTGCTGTCTCCCTTATATCCAGAAGATATAGTTTGGGAATCAAAGGGTAGAAGTGGTAGTGGATTCTCTCACTATTATATGTAATAATTTATTCGTAGAACATTTATTTTTCATCTTGGCAACATTGAGCTCTCTTGTTTGAGGACTTTGATCCCAAGAGGGCAGTGTGTCTACCAGGTGGCAGAGCAAAGGTTCTATTGAATTAAAAGATGAAACCCTGATTTATGTTTTTAATGTTATATTTTAGATCTTTTTGTTTTGTGTATTCTCTAGCTACTTACCGTAGTTCGTGATTTTGCTACTACTGTCTTTTAAGCTCCATACTCGTCTTTTAAATGTCTGATTCACTGTTTATTATATATTTGCCTTTACCAGTGAGATATTTCTCTTCACATCTTTCTTTCTTTCTTTTTCTTTCTTTCTTTCTTTCTTTCTTTCTTTCTTTCTTTCTTTCTTTCTTTCTTTCTCTCTTCCTCTCTTCCTCTCTTCCTCTCTTCCTCTCTTCCTACCTCCTTCCTTCTTTCTTTCTTTTGTCCATTTATGTGAAATGCCCCGAACAGGCACATCTATAAAGATAGAAAATGGTTTTCTGGACCAGCACAGACAGCAGCATGTGAAGAATGACTCCTGATGGGTAGTGGGTTTCTTTTTGGGGGTCATGAAAATGTTCTGAAATTAGATGTTGTGATGGTTGCACAACTCTATGACTATACTAAAAGCCATTGAATTGTATACTTTCAAAGGGTGAATTGTACAGTGAGTGAAAATCTTAATAAAGCTCTTATAAAAATTAATCAACAAAAAGTCTCCCACCAGGAAAAGTAGTCAAAGAAATGAATAGCTAATTCACAAAAGAAGAAATACAACAGGTATTTCTCTATATAGCAAAAAAAAAAAAAAAGATATTCAACCTCACTAATAGTCAGATCAATATAAATAAGCACAAAATACCACTTCTAGTATCAGACTGGAAAAAACGGAAAGACCTCCTGTTTCCATTGATTGTGACCAGGGCATGTTCCCAATGAGCAGGAGCAGAAAATGGTACACTTTGTCTGGATGGCAGCCTGCCAGTACTGAAGCAGATGTTTAATGCCTTCATTGGTTGGGTAAATGTTAATGGTTAGAAGTGAGTGATCAGGGAGCCCGTGGTGCAGGTGCTATGACTTACCAGTCTGACAGATATTTTACCCAGCTTTAAGGAAGCTACGAGTCCTCGTAGAGAACTGTGCCCAGAGAAAACCCAACCTTGCTAATAATAAGCTCCGCCATGCTAAGCACTCAAGGAGGTTACTGGCAAGAGAAATTATGGGCTCACTGTTTCTAGAGGGCAGTGGCACATGACAAGAACATCACCAACAGAGGCATGAAGGGAATAACTGGGATAGCTGCTGTGGCAACCTACCTTCAAAGCCTGAAGATATTTGTTGGGAGGTTGTCAAGCAAACAAAATTGTTTCCTATAGTTCCTTATTTCTGGTTATGACTTTTTATGCTTAAAAAACAACCCTTTAACATTTTTTGTAAAGCCAGTTTAGTGGTGATGAACTCCTTGAGATTTTGCTTATTTGAGGAACTCTTTATCTCTCCATCAATTCTGAATGATAACCTTGTCAAGTAGAGTATTCTAGGTTGTAAGTTACTTTCTTTCAGCACTTTAAATATAACCTGCCTACTTCCTTCTGGCCTATA